CAATACATCAAACTCCACCAAAACTAGACAACTATACAAGTATTTTACACGCAGTTTTTTCTCTCTCTGGTTCGTGCAGCGTGAATGTCTCTCTCATCAATCGGTTGGAGTCATAGACTGTAAGGTGCTTTCACACCTACACTTTTGTTTCGGAACGTGTCTCGTTTGCCCAGTTAGCGCGGTTCGTTTGGCATATGTGAACAGGGCAATCGCGCTCTTTTCCGCGCCAAAGTAATCGCGCCGAGATCGCTTGAATGAGGTGGTCTCGGCTCGATTGAAACGAACCCTGGAGCGGTTCGATTGCAGTGAGAAAGCGATCCGATCCAAGCACGGTTATATCACAGTGTTTTATGGATATGTAATAGGCTTACGGCTATAAGAAGAGAGAATTATGAGTATGGCAGGAAGTTTCGCGAGTCTCCGGATGCCCGCAAACGAGTGATGATCTCCCGGTAATCTCGCGTCTCCCTCCCGGTCCTCAAATAGGCATCGTCGCGCACCTTTCTCACCCCTCCCCACTGCATCTCTCCTAAGACACGTCGCGCGCGCACACCCTGTCAATCACCACCAAATCACCACCTCTCCTGACAGGTTAGCGGGATGCTGCAAAATAAACCCTGACACTCTGACCAATGTAAGGAGAGTTTACTCGCACATGACTTGTTTTAGCTCTTTTGGTCCGATTAGAAACTTTGCAGTGTGAAAGCGAACCGCTCTAAGAGCAAAGAGCAACAATGTAACAATTGTAATCTCGGTTTCGGAACAACTGAATCGATTTACAGGTGTGAAAGCACCCTAAAGCAGTGGTCCTCAACCCCCGAGCCACAGACCGGTACCGGTCTATGGATCAACTGGTACCAGGCCGCACAAAAAATGAGTAACTATTTCCATTATCCAAGTCTGAACGATCTTTTATTTTGAAAAATGACTGTATTCTGTGGGGCGAGGCAGTGGCGCAGTAGGTAGTGCTGTTGCCTCACAGCAAGAAGATCGCTGGGTCGCGGCTCAGTTGGCGTTTCTATGTGGAGTTTGCATGTTCTCCCTGCCTTCACGTGGGTTTCCTCCGGGTGCTCCGGTTTCCCCCACAGTCCAAAGACATGCTGTACAGGTGAATTGGGTAGGCTAAATTGTCCGTAGTGTATGAGTGTGTGTGTGTGTGTGAATGAGAGTGTGGATGTTTCCCAGAGATGGGTTGCGGCTGGAAGGGCATCCGCTGCGTAAAAAACATGCTGGATAAGTTGGCGGTTCATTCCGCTGTGGCGACCCCGGATTAATAAAGGAACTAAGCCGACAAGAAAATGAATGAATGAACTGTATTCTGTCTGTTACATCTTGAGCACACAGTCTAACCCACAGCTAGCAAACTACGTAGAAAAAAAAAAACAGACATCTGTGGAAAGTTTCTTTTCGAAGGGGAGAAGGTCAAGTGAAGGACCCATGAACTGCCAAGGAATGGATCAAGAAACCCATTTGTCAACAAATCAGGTGGATCCACCATAGCTGTGCAAGAAGAACATCAACTGCTAGAGATCGTAAAATGACGGCGGCTGTTTACATATCTCGTCTTTTCCACAAGTTTGTTTTTCCAATGGCGGCTTGCATATCTTGCACCTGGACCCAGTTAAAAACAACTCTAGTTTTCAGAATGCCGCTAGCGACAAGAACTGACCAATCAGCTTTATACTTTGTATGGAATATGCACATTTCGGTAGACTAATCACTAATCTCTGCAGTGTTTTTTATTTACTTCAGAAATAAAACTTGTATCAGAATTGCAGCCATTTTTGTCAGCTTGTCATGCCCTAATGCTGTGTTCACACTAGACAAGGAACGCGCGGATAAATCGCGATATTCGCGCGGACACGTCAAAATCTGCTTCATTCACTTGTCGAATTCACTTCACAACAGACGCGGATTCGCGTGATGGGCAGGGATTCTTTCTGCCCAGTGACTCTAGCTTTGTTTCTAATGCCTCGTTTTCACTGACTGGTACAATACGGTACGGTACCTTTATCAATCTTGCGTTTCCAACACAAAGGGTACCCTTTTAGTGGGCGTGGTGTATGACAAAGTTTAAGTCGACATCATGCTCGCTCGAATAAATGTCTACAGTAAAGCTGTACGGGTCGCTCACATATCATAATGACCAGCACTTCTCACAAAACAGGTGCTTTACACACATAAATACTTGTGTATAAATGTTTATTACTAACTTTTCTATGAACAGGAGTTGATTATAACTGCAGATCAATGACAGTGCGAAATAGCCTAGTGTAACGTCTGTATTATATAAAATAAATACATAAATGCAATATGTATAAACACATACAGCCTCTTTCAGTCTCCGATATATTATTAATTACCGAAAAATTACACACAGCAGACATTTAGTACTTATTTGAGTTCAAAAACGCACGCAATATAGCCCACAGCCAGCGCAAACCTCTCACTTGTGTCTGTAATCTTCACCAGCACATGTAAGCTCTGTTAGAGAGCAATTTTGTCCTTCCCAGTTCATAATTATCCAAAAGGCGAAGATTAACATGGCAGTTTGTTCATGATTCAGGTTGCTAAAACACTTTTGCTCCTGTGTTTTGACGGCTTCTCTTTTTTTTCTCCGCATTTCACTCCCGCTTTACTCTTGCGCTTGTCCTTTTTTTTCTGAATGGATCAGATGACGGAGACACTTCAATAATCACGTACACGTTATTATCAACAGCTCAAGAAGTTCGTTATATCAAATATAGAATCGATCGCAAGCTCCCGGAAGAAAGCGAATACCCTTCGCACTTTTAGACGGGCTCGTAAAACAACAACAGGACACGGCAGATTGTTCTTCTTGTCTGTGTGTCTGTTCATCGAGACGACGACAAGGTTAGTTTGAGCCCGGTCATCCCATTATTATATGCATATAGTATTTTCATGTAATGTCTCGGCTTTGTACTTAAAAAAAAAACATGGCGGTTCCTTTGTTTACGTTCTGTGTAGCTCGAGCTCGTGACGTATCTCTATAACCAATCAGCATTCAGCTGCACGTCTAGCTCCACCTTTTGGTACCCTTTCTCCCGTTTGGTACCCTTTTGAAAGGGTGCTGAAAAAGTGGTACGGTACGGTTTGGTACGCTTACTGACAGTGGAAACGGCCATAAAAGCGTACCAAACTGAACCACTCAGTGGAAACGGGCTATGAATGGCTAACATGGATTTTATTGAGGGAATAACTGTGTTTATGTGCTTTATGAAGGCTAAAAAACAGCAACATTTGGAGCAGTGTCTTGAGTCCACTACATCCTTTCAAAGGTGCACCCAGCTCTGAGTTCATAAACTCCTCCTGAAACTTAACCTGGATGATGGAAGCATTCAGCGGTGCTTCTGACTGAGCCCAGTTTGATCAACTGTTGTCGATGTCGGCAAGAGGATTTCTCCCCGGACACCAACAACAGGTGCTACGTCATAGGCACGCCCCTATAGACCAATTACCAACCTACATCACACATGACGTCACACGGGTCCTCGGTTGCAAAAAACAGACAGGCTGCAATGGGAAAGATGTCGTGTTGTGCGGTAGGATGCCGAATTCGAGTCCAAAAATAGAAAACTTAACTTTTACCATACACCACACACTGCTTTAATACCGACTGCAGAAGTCTTTGGCTAAATGGGAGCTGAATGAAGTAAGGAGCTAGTTAGAAATGCTGGTCTCTGCAGTCCTAATGTCATATCAGGTCAGGTCACGCTATGCTGAATCATACACATCACTCGTTTTTGATTGCAGAAATGATTTCAGCAAAAACAGTTACATATGGTGAATTAAACTGCTGACACTGAATGCTAAGAGTGATTTATATATTTACACCTTCGTTCAGTGACAACTTGTGACAAACTCCCTATATTGTTTACCACGGCACTTTGAATATTCGGTCTGAAATAACCTGCAAGTGTGACTTGAAAACATCATTAACACTGTTTATTTGACTGTGAACAATGTTGTACTTTGATAGTCATTGGCTGCTAATATGATTTCGCTATTTAGAGTTTGCAAATAATATATTTAGGAAATTATATTATTAAGGAGAAAGTCTGAATGTGCGAATATAAAACCGACTTTACCTCTATGTGTAAGTTCACAGACCCTGCCGTACAGGTGCAGTTTACTGTCAGAATGCAGTTGCATTGCACACCATTGCGTGTTGGTGATTAATTACCCAGGCCTTGTATAATGATAGTCCGTCTTGTTTCCTTGTCTTTGGCTAGGTGGAATCTCGGTGTTTAGCTCTTGAATCTGGTCATCATGGAGCATTATTTCTTGCACATTACCACAAAGAACAAAATTGTTGACACCTAAAGACTTGTAGACCTTTAACTTCTCTCTTGTAAAATCACTCGTAGCTTCACTGAGATTGTATATTTCGGGCTGGATGCTCGGTCACTTCGTCTTATCCAATATCCATTGGGTGGGTGCTATCGCAAATGGAGCTGTCAGATGAACGCCGCTCGCTTTAACGTTAATTTTGCTGAATCACTGTGCCTATCACTGGGTGACGAGCTGTTATAATATGCTGTAAGCATTATGTTAATAATATATATAATATGTAAGTAATATATCTTATTTCTAAGACAACAACAAACTGCACCGCATCTGATGTCATTCCCTCGCTGTAAATGCTAGGGCTCCCGGTTGCTTTCTGCCACCTCCCTGCGCGCGCATCCTGAATGTTTACAAACATGGTAATTGGTCTATAAGAGAAAGCTCCTGATTGGTTGACACAAATGTCCGCTAAAGTTCAATTTTTTGTTCAACTCAAGCGATTTAAGCGTGTCAATCACGCCAAATGAGCAAAACGCTCAACTCGCGATGCTTCATTCGCGCCGCCTTAGTTGCGCATATCGCGCCGCAGGATGTCTATTAGCGCCTTTGCATTGACTATCATGTAAATCACTCGCGCTTGACGCTTCTTTGGCGTCAGGTGTGAACGCAGCATAAGAAAACAGTTAATGGTCGCCTAGAAATCTACGTAGACCCTACACTACGGTCCCCCGTGCCGCAGGAAAACATTTTTTTTCCCTTTCCCCCGTTGCAATACTTTTATCCACTTATTAATTTAGTTTTTTTTTATTTACCTAGTAGCGGATATGATTTAAAATGTAGCGAAGTACAATACTTGAGGAAGATACAGATTCTAAACTCTACTTTAAAACGTACAAATTCACACTACAAAACTACTCAACTACAGTAACGTTGAGTAAATGTAACTCGTTACTTTCCACCTCTGCATTTTGGATATTCTTTTCTTTAACGTGGAGCTTCATGTGTTGGCTGAGGTTGCGTCTCTGACAGTAACTCTTTCCACACTGACCACAAATAAACGGCCTCTCTCCGGTGTGAGTCCTCATGTGAGCAGTAAGGTAGTTATTACATGTAAAGTGTTTACCACATATTGAGCAGGTGTAAGGCTTCTCTCCGGTGTGAGTCCTCATGTGGTAATTAAGGTTGTTTTTCTGGGTAAAACTCTTCCCGCATTGAGCGCAAATATAAGGTTTCTCTCCGGTGTGGACTCTCATGTGGACTTTCAGGCATTGTCTTCGATTGAAACTCTTTCCGCACTGTTGGCAGGCGAAAGGTTTCTCTCCGCTGTGAATTTTCATGTGTATTGTCAGGTAATCTTTATGAGCGAAGTTTCCTCCGCATTGGTGGCAAGCGAACGGCCTCTCTGTATTGTGGACCGCCATGTGCGCTTCAAGCTTTTGTTTTTGAATGAAGCTCATTCCACACTGTGCGCAGGCGTAAGGCCTCTCTCCAGTGTGAAGTTTGATGTGATTTTTAAGGATCTGAATTTGCCTGAACCTCTTTCCACACTGTTGGCAGGCGTACGGCCTCTCCCCGGTGTGAATTCTCCTGTGGATCTTCATATTTTTCTGCAGATTGAAACTCTTTCCGCACAGATCGCACGAGAAAGGCTTCTCTCCGGTGTGAACTCTCATGTGAACAGCAAGGATGTGCTTTTTTCTGAATCCCTTTCCACACTCAGGACACGGGTACGGCTTCTCTTCGCTTCGAGCACTCATGTGGTCTACAAGGTTGTTTTTTTGAGTAAAACTCATTCCACCCTGACTGCAGGTAAAGTTACCATCAGATTTGGTTTTCTGAGCTCTTTTATGAGGTGAAGCCTTTTTTGTCTCCGCAGATATTTCCTCGGTCATTAATTCTTGGTGTTTCTCAAACTGATCTTTCTCTTCAGTTTCATTTAGTTCTTCACTCTCTTCTTTCATCACCATCAGATCTAAAGAGAAAAGTAAAACAAGTCAACAACGTGCAAGTTTGTGTATGATGCGTTGTTTCTTTAAGACATGCAAAGACTTTCCACACCTCTTACTACCTGACACAGGATAGCTGGGAGCAGCCATGTCCTTATGATTAGAGAGATGGATTTGCAATCCAAACGTTACAGGTTTGAGTCCCGGTACCACCTCAATACAATGAGCTGAGGTGATACCCTTGAACAAGGCACCAAAGCCGAAAACCGCTCCCTGGGTGTGTGTTTATGGGTGTAAGTCGCTTTGGAAAGCGTCGTGAATGCCCTGCTGAAAAATCCAGCTTAAACCAGCCTAGGCTGGTTGGCTGGTTTTAGCTGGTCGACCAGCCTGGTTTTAGAGAGGTTTTGGCCACTTCCAGGCTGGTTTCCAGCAGGGTTTTAGCTGGACAGGCTGGGAAATGACCAGCTTGACCAGTCTAGCCAGGCTGGGAGCCCAGCTATGTCCAGCTTAAACCAGTCTGGTCAAGCTGGTTTTAAATGGTTTTAGCTGGTCACTTTCCAGCCTGACCAGCTAAGACTAGGCTGGAAACCAGGCTAGAAATGGCCAAAACCCCTTTAAAAACAGCCAGGTCAACCAGCTAAAACAAGCCAACCATCCTAGGCTGGTTTAAGCTGGATTTTTCAGCGGGGTGTAAATGTAGTGTTGTCACAATATCAATACTAAATTGTGATACTACGGCCATTAAAAAACTTCCAGGTTGACGCCTGCCTAACTGAAAAGCGCTGCTTATACGGGTAACCAATAACCCTTGTTATTGGAGGAGGTGCTCTAATGCAGTGTTTAACAACCACGTTCCTGAAGGAACACCTGGTCTTCATATTGTCTATGTCTCCTTAACTAAACACACTGGTCTCAGATCATCAGCTCATTAGGAGAGACTGAAAGACCTGTAATAGACTGATTTCACGCGGCCGCCATTTAAAAGTGAAACGGAGTCTGTGATGGGAAGAAACCTGGAAGTATCGCTTGGAGTCACATGGGAATATTGTCCGCCTGGCTGTATATCTTATCGGCAAAGAGAAAGCGACACAAATTTATCATTTCACCACCTTCCGAGTGACCTGAAGGTCAGTTCTGAATGGATGATGAAAATAAAAAGGGATTTCAGACCTCATTTTCAGCTAAGTTAAGGGAAATGGCATTAGTTAGCAAAGGGTTTTCCCCCTAAACATACATTTTAGATGCCATTTATCCATTGTTTTATCGCTCACTGGGTTACATAGGCCAGGGCTCAACAATAAGCACTGCCCAATGGCCCGGGGCCAGCGTGAGAGATGCTCGGGACAGTAGATGGAATCGTGCTGCCTTGTCACTAAATCGAAATTTTCCTGCGACTATTTGTCTATTGCGTCCAAACACAGTCTTAGAATCGAGAAACAATTTGTGCTATAAGCCTCTGTGAGGTCGTAAATATTATACTGTTTCTAACGTTGTGGAAACAGACATTTACATGGGTACAATACGACGAAAGAAATGTAGTGATGTTTTGCAGTCACTTTTAAGTCGGCCACCTTTTGCTTTGCGATAAAGTACCAGCACATTTTCCATACGGATACATTTTATTGCTAAATAATTTAACATTTAAAAAAAATGTAAATTCGAGATTCACAGACATTATTTTTGACACATTATTTAAAATATGTGGCTAAGAAATAGCTTTTAACGTATTACTCTTAAAGAGATTGTGATTTTATTTGATGCCTAATATCCGTTAATCGTTTAAACTGAACTGAATGATATTAAAGTGATGTTTACACCACACCTGCACTTTGAAATCATGGCAACGGCTGGAGGTTTGTAGTCCACAGCGTGTTGTTGCAGTGTTTACAGTGCTGAACCTATACTTCTGGGTTTCTTCCCACCACAGCCCTGCTTTTATTCTTTAAAATGGCGGCCGCGTGGAATAAGCGTATGGTTGAGACCGACAAAGAATAAATCCAAAACATGCAGTGTTTGAGATCCTCCAGGAACGTGGTTGAAAAAACAGGTCATCGAGACCTCAAATGGAAGTGAAGGGCTTGATGATTGAAAACAACTGTACAACTGTTTGTATTGCTATGTGTTCATACTGTCTAAAGTGACCTGTCATTTAGATATTATTGTTATGTGTTAATTCTGTTTAAAGTGATTTTACTTTTTATTCAAGATAGACTTTGTGTAGTAAGGATATAACTGCCTGAATGCTGTTTATACTAGTTTTTGAACTAGATTGATAAGATGGCTGAGAGTATGAAGAAACAACCTTGGGTTTTTTAACAGATTGTCTCTTGCCTGTGTATATGCATCCGATGGGCCAGTTCCTCAGGTCTGAGACCAGCTCTTAATTGTCTACGGGCGACCTGACCCAAGCCTCCTGTTGCCATCCCTATGTGAATACGACCCCGCATTGACGTACATATTTAGAATTGTCTATCTTTGTCGTGACCAATCGTAACAGTTTACCAGAATCACACCCTTTCTGGTGTCGCGTAGAGAGTATGATTGATGTTAATTTTGTGATTGTAAGCAAAGCGGCCTAGGAACTCATTGCGAGTGTTGAAGCTGGCTTCTGCTGATGAAACTGCAAACTGTCTTCAGTGAACTTTATTTATTTATTTGAATCTCTGACTCCGTCTCTTCTTTATCTGACAGACTGCTCATTCTTTGGGTTAAAACTGTAAATTATTCCTACAATATCATTCTATGTTTACATGACTAAAGAGCCTTGAGAGCAGCCTTGCTGATTGGAGCTCCACAACCACGGACTAAACTACTGGAAAGCAGATGTTTGGACCAAAGAACTGTGAGGGAAGGGAGGAGGATTTATCATCGATTCTAGATTTTTCTTGAAGGTTTTACTTTGCAATGCTTTGTACATCGTCGGTTATTTAGAGAAAAAAGAACAAATGATGCAACTAAAATAAATATTAATCACTTTATCTGCATTTTGCTGAAATGGGCAGCATGGTGGCTCAGTGATTAGCACTGACGCTTCAAAGCAAGAGGTTCGCTGGTTCGAGTCAGGAGAACGACAACAATGGAAGCTCCATTTTTAAATACATCCCAAATCTTGGCACGGTAATAATACAATGAGTCTGTGCAGCAATGAATCATGGTAGACCTGAGCTCAAACATAGCTTGTTGTCTTCTTCTGACAGCCACATGTTCAAGTTGCGTGCACTTGCCGCTCATTCATTCATTCATTTTCCTTCGGCTTAGTCCCTTACTTATCAGGGGTCACCACAGCAGAATGAAGCGCCAACTATTTCAATTGAACGCAGTGGCTGCCCTTAAAGACACAACCCAGTACTGGAAAACACCCATACATTCATTCTATTTTGATCATCCAATTCACCTATACCGCATGTCTTTTGAGGAAACCAGCGCACCCAAAGGAAACCCACGCCAACACGGGGAGAACAGGCAAACTGCACACAGAAATGCCAACTGAACCAGCCGGGACCTTCTCACTATGAGGCGACAGTGCTAACCACTGAGTCACCATGCCGCCCCCATCTGCCACTCATCTACATATGAAATAATGAACTTGAGTGCACAAAAAAACACAATAGGTGCGTCCCAAATCACATACTTATGTCCTATTCTATGCCATTTTGTAGTATAGTGCAGGTAGTGCATTCACTCTGAAATAGTATGTTTATTCTAAAAAGATTAAGTGCACTTTAAATACCCAAATGATGCACTTTTTTAACCATTACGCCCTATTCACACGGGGCGTCAGCTTCAACGCTTCCCATTCACTTTGAATGGGTGACAGCAGGCGTTGCCAAACTGCATAGTGGATCCGTCGGTGCAGCTTCAGAGGCGTTGCTCGCTGCAGAAGTTGGGACTTGCTCAACTTTTCAAGCAGCGACGGAAGCGTCAGCCAATCAGATCGCTGTATGCAAATACAACAGGTCAGACCGTGGCCTATTGCTGACTAATTTCATTGGCTGACGCTGCTATGACGATCGCGTCAGACCCAACTTCAGACACGCCCTCTGTCAAGCATTGACGCTGAAGCCCCGTGTGAATGAGGCATTAAAATGAAGTGTGTAATGTTGGACACTTCATGTTTATTTCACAAATTTGGCAACGGTCAAACATCATCAGGAAAACGGTTTGAATTTATGCTAAGCAAAAAACATTAGTGTTTCATTTGGGATGACACTACATTCGTATACTATGCTGTTGAGTGTGTAAGTGTATATTATAGTGCAGAAGTCCATACTGTGCCATTTGGGAGGCAATTCTTTACGAGAAGTGTCATGAGATTTTTAATGACCACAGTGAGTCAGGACCTCAGTTTAATGTCTTATCCGAAAGACAGTGCCCACTGACAGTATAGTGTCTCCTTCACTTTACTGGGGCATTAGGACCAGGGCCGACGGGTCCTTAGAGGCAACCTAGGCAGCCACCTAGGGCGGCAGAATATTAAGAGTTCCGTCTGCAACAACCCCCCCCCCCACCCCACCACCACTCCCGCTTTTCAATATGCGAACCAGTAACTTCAGTTTTAATTTGTGAGTTGAGGGCGGCATGATCGTCGTTTGCCTAGACTGCCAGTTCAGGCCCTGATTAGGACTCACACAGACCGCAGGTTGATCGCCCTCTGCTGGCCTCCCTAACACCACTTCCAACGAAATATATCCAGCCGCAGACCTGCAGAACCACACACATTTCAGGCACACATAATCTAGCACACAGGATCTAGGTAAACCATACATGGAAACTAACTCCTTAGGAGCGTTTTCGCCACCTATTGAATTTCACAAATATGGTTTCCCATTTCAGTCATTATTATTGTGTCGTAACGATCAATTTAACATCTCTGAAGTTTATGAATAGGGTTAGGCCGATAGACGTTGTCATAGTCCATCGCCGATGGTCAACAGACGACACAATGCCGAGCAGGCATCGCCGATCCTCTGCCCCGCCCCTGTCGCAAAACCCGCTCGCGAAAAATACACACTTGAGCCCTGTTTACACTAATACGTCTTAGTGTTAAAATGGCATTTTAGAACGAAAATGATCCACGCCATGTTTTACTTAGCATTTCTGAACAGCCCTTCATCCACTGAAAACGCACATCACATGACCCCACACACACACACACAGCCAGACACTGTCATGCACTCCTCTGAGCTCCAGAGAACAGTGCACGTCGGACAGTTTATCAAGGATGTACCGCTTGATCGCATCTCACTATAGTTCAGGGGTCACCAAACTTGTTCCTGGAGGGCCGGTGTCCAGCAGATTTTAGCTCCAACCCTAATCAAACACACCTGAACAAGCTAATCAAGGTCTTACTAGGTATACTTGAAACATCCAGGCAGGTGTGTTGAGGCAAGTTGGAGCTAAACCCTGCAGGGACTCCGGCCCTGCAGAACCGAGATTGGTGACTCCTGCTATAGCTGTTCAACATTCAACGCACCCTTCCACCCCTGGATCCCTCCTCGCTCTTCAGACACACTCTGCACACTCTGTTTAAACACATATTGATTTTTACATGCAGGCAGCTTTTAACTCTTGCAAGGTCTAAATATGATGATGATGATAGTAATAATAATAATTAATTAATTGTTAAGCATTTGGCCCAATCGGTGACGGCCGGTTGGTTTTGAGAAGGGACCGACCCAATCAGAGGTTACGCGAACATAATCAAAATCTGGCGAGAATGTCAATAATTGTCAGAGATGGACCATAAAAAATAAGAAAAGGCGTTGCCAAAAAGCTCCAACAAAGCAAAAAAGAGCTTTGAAATCAGATGCTGCAATAATTAACTGAAATAACCTCAAAAGGTTTAAATACGGCAGCTGCATTGGGGGACAATAGCACGGCAGAGGAGGAAATAATACTCAAAGATTAAAGTCAGTATACTAAAATATACTAAGTAAGCATAGCATAGAACTCCCGAACATTTTAAAATGTCATTATCAGCAGATAATGTGGGAAAGAGGGTATACAGAATGCTGTATGCTACTAGAAATATAGCCTAAGGCTGTACTCACACTATGTACAGTTGCCTCGAACCAAGCCAAAGCACGCTTGTCCCCCTTCCCGTCTCCCCCGACGGCCCGCGCTCAAACCAAGAACTGCTGCGCTGTCCTGTAAGAAGCGCTCTCTCACTCAGCAGCACAGTGGAGATTTCTCTAGTTATACCGTTTCAGTCGTTTGATATGCCGTCAAATATTTCGCCAAACAGTCCTTAGGGATGCGCAGGGGCGCCCCCAAGGTAAACTCTGGCCACCCCTGTGGCCACCCCTTTGGCCACCCCAATATAATTTTGCTGTTGACATTATTGATTTAAATTATTAATTCCCAATGTTTAAATAAATAAAATGCAGCCACTAAATTATTGTTGGTGTTACTGAAGTAGCTGATTCATTTTCTCTCCCCCTTAGTTCAATGCTGAATGCTGGTGATAGCAAACTGACGCATGCGCGCAGAAAACCATCCCCGCGCGCCTCACGCACTCCTGTGTGAATCCCGGTTGGTTGTTTGCATCCACGTCGACAAAATACGCGCCGCTCATGCGCCGTGAAACGGAGTAACAGCCTTTTGTGCAGAGGTGAAAGTCGACTTAAGTTTATATAATATGATGATGATGATGTTACTTTCACTAAGCATGCCTTTAAAGCAGAAAGGAGGGATAATGAGTCAGGGAGGTAAGACTTCATAACATGATTTCTCAGCCATGATCTGGTCTAAGACCACAGATAATTCTATAATACATTTTTTGTATTCTTTAGAATTGTCATAATTAATTTTCATGCAAAAGGTTTCTTAAGTGATCTTGGCATATCACTCCAGTTGTTGTTTTCCAGTAATATTTAGGATTGATTTCTGTTATTTATTCAGAATAATAATTGTATAATAATATTAATTTTATTTATTTAAAATAAATATAAATAAATTGTTATATTTATTGAATAACAAATCTAACAATTCAAGAGAGGTGGGTGTGTATAGGGTGGTTCGCCCAGGGTGTCATTTAAACTAGAACCGCCACCGCCCTCCCCGATCGTCGTTGACAGCACGCACACACCTTCAATAGACAGCAATAGCAATTTAATATTTACCTTAAGGTACAGTATATCAATAGAAGAAGCTGCATTAATAAAATGGCTCAAAAAGCAATATGGATAAATTATATTATTAGGTATAGTGAGTGTGTATAGTAATGCCTTTTGTTCAGTTTGTTCATTTGTTTGGTTTATAAATAAACTCATTATTCTTTTATTCATTTTCTTTTCGGCTTAGTCCCTTTATTAATCCAGGGTCGCCACAGTGGAATGAACCGCCAACTTATCTAGCAAATTTTTACACAGTGGATGCCCTTCCAGCCGCAACCCATCTCTGGGAATAATAAACTCATTAATCTTCATTAATTTTAGACATGGCATATACCGTATAATGTACAATAAAAGCACGTAAAAAGTTATTTCTATATATATATATATATATATATGAAAAGTGTTTTTAAACTAAACATACATTTTTTTTTGGGGTTTGCACATGTACTTCCTGAATTACTTCAAGAAATAAATAGCAATATTTCAAGAAGATTTAATTAAATGAATAAAAACTACATTATTACACTAAACAAAAACAAAAATATAACATTACACTGAATTCATAATTTTTTTTGTGTGCCACCCCAAGATTTGGTGCGGCCTCTTCTGGCCACCCCTAAGAAAATTTTCTGGGGGCGCCACTGGGGATGCGGGGACACGCAGTCAGATATTTCGCCGGACAGATCCGCCACTTTTGGCGCTCATAAACAATCATAAAGCTCTCGTGCTGCAGGAATGAGGAGGTCTGCTGAAGGTGCGCAGCTGTTGTGAAGTGAGGAGTTCTCGTCTTTAATAAACTACGGCAGTTTGCGTTCACTGAACAGTAAGAATGATTAATAAATCCTTATGAAACAGACCCTTAAAAGCCACGTCTCGCTTTCGGTTTCGGGCTTTGGCGCGTTTTGCACTCACACACAAGCGTACCGCGCCAAAGCCCAAGTGAACCGCGCTCAGGCACACCTCTTCCAACCGGGCCACGGCCGGCCAAGTGAACCGTGCTTGAGCCCAATTCAGCGCACTCACACTTCTCAAACGATTCGGGAAACGGGCCTGCGCACGGTACGGATGGCATAGTGTGAGTAGGCCCTAACATGCAAAGCTATAGCCTGGAGGCATTTGTAGTGATACATCTGGTCTTTAAAGTAAGCATTAAATTCACGCATAGATTACAGTATGCATTTAATCCTCAGGTAGAGGCACGGAGAATGACAACAGGTTGTTTTTGTTTTGTTGTAATGTGCCCATGCGCACCGCTAAGTTTTAAGCCTGATTTATACTTCTGCGTCAGGTGACCGGCGTAACCCACGGCGCATGCAACGCGCGTAGCTGTGCATTTATACTTCTGCTCGCTGTCTCTGTCGGTCTGCATTAACACTTCTGAAACGCTAGTGGGCAGTGAAGTGTAAATGTTCCTCTGTGTCGAGTTTCTTCGCGGCTTTTTTGCTTTTCCTGAACACTTCCGGGATGTACAAGTGGCTCAAACTCGCTCATTTTGAGGCAGGAACCGGCGGACGTGCAACAACTTTAACTATGAGGAAAACACAAAACAAAACTTTCCATCCGGAGCTCCTTCACGGGACTCCACACTTGTAAACAATCGCTCGCGCCATTCGCGTGGCTTTCGGTCCCGCCCAGACTCGTCAGCACTACCAAGCCGACCAATCACAGAGCTTACGCTACGCGTCGTTGCGACGTGTAGTTACATTTTTTGAGAGGTGCACGTCAGTGACGGCGACGGCCACGGCGAAGGGCTATGCGTCAACGCCGTAGCATACGCCGACGTTTGACGCAGAAGTATAAATCAGCCTTTACAGTGCAGTGCTGACTTGTGGAAAGTATTCTTCCTTTACACTGAACTTCACCATTTTATATAACTTTCAAATCCATTTCTCCATGACTGATGTAGTACAAGAGTTTGAAATATGTCAAAAATATAATGAGCCATCATTTGTGCGGCCTTGTGCTAAATCAATGCAGACACAGTCACTGCTTATAATAGAGGCTATCATTTGTTCAATAGTTCATACTATTTTCTTCACCTTACATAGACTACTTCAACTTATTTTTTCATCATTTAACATGTGTCATGTGATGTGAAAAGCAGTAAATTAATCAAAACTTACCTGTTTGTTCCTGCAGATCTTCTTGTTTGATTATTATTTCTTCAATCTTGAGGTCTTCACACTCCTCTTTAATAAACGCCATCTTTACAACAGTGTGGAGATCAGTCGCTTCAGGCGTTTTCCTCTGTGTTTGGACACTTTGTCCTGTTTAAAATGAGAAAAATGAACAGAAATAAAAGAAACACACACTCAATCTGTGGCTGCCTCTCAACGTCAGTTCAGTCAGTCTGAGGGAGAGAAAAATCACCTCATTGAATTCAAACAATCTCAAAACCAGCTCTAGAAACGTATAATATATTACAAAATATACGTATTTATAATATATATGATCTGTAAATCGTGTTCAAAAGTACATTTTCGTCAAAACATTTGCAGTTGGTGAGTAGAAGTGGTCACATTTACACTGTTTTGATCTGCAGGTGATGGGAGCGCGCGGTGATTCGAGCGACTCGAAAGAGAATCGTTTAGTGACCATTTGATTCAAATGACTCGGAGATTTGTAAAGCTCCGTTTTCCTCATCTCCACTCGCCAGTGACTGTTTACTAATAGATTCACGACAGAGAAAGAGAAACAAGACGCGCCTTTTATTTTACTTACGCGGGCTTTAACTCTTATTAACGTAATAAATTAACTTAACATGTTTATTAAATAGACGTTAGTCGTATTAGATGTTACATTTCCTGAAATGTACCGTTACATCGCTTGTAAAAGATATTTAGGAAATTTAACTTAAAGTTTAATGGGATTTAAAACGTTAAAATCTTTAAAACACAAACCTTTTGCCCGTAGGAGTAGATTATAACGAAGCACACTGTAATGGGTAATTTTATAAACAGTTTTCGTCAGGAGCTGTAGCAACAACCACACACAGGAGTGCGGCGCAGGCTTTTGACTTCACACACAACAAAATAAAAGTCGCGATCTGTTAAAAAAATCTACAAATAGTGAGACAGCATAATAATTTTAGGAGACAGATTTGAGAAGACATTAATACCTATTTTAGCTTCAAGCGTTTATCTAATAATATGTGTATTTTAATTTAACATCCAGTGTTACATTACGACTCTATATTAACTGTAAATTGCATATCTACTTAAAAATACTGTTATTTTATTGTTGTTACTAGCAAAACTGAAGGGGCTGATTAAATACAAAAAAATGTATTGTTTCATTAGTATTTTAATTTATACTGTAATATATTATGTTTACAGAAATTTTTATTATATTGTATTTTTTATGTTCATATTATAATCATTATACTTTAAGAAAAATCATAGGTCTTCGAAAAAAAAAACATGCTATACTATAGTGATCTAAAAAATAATTATTTGACAGAATCAAAAATATCCTATAGAAAAAAAGTGAAATTTCATAAATAAATAAAAAATCACAGTCCAATAATTCTAAAAATCAAAATCAGATCTTAAAAACAAAGTGGAAATTCCAATAAATTAAGTCATGATGCCCAAAATGATTTTAAAATCCTACAGGACAAAGTGAAAATCTAATTTAAAAATGCTGAATGTCCATTACAATTTTAGGAATCCTTAAAGATCCTATAGGATCCTGACAAGGAAGGGATACCTTTCCCAGTGATGGGTTGTAGCTGGAAAGGCATCCGCTGGGTAAAGCATATGCTGGATAAGTTGCCGGTTCATTCTGCGGTGGCGACCCCAGATTAATAAAGGGACTAAGCCGAAAAGAAAATGAATGAATGAATGTTATTATTAACTGCTTCACATCATCCAGTGACAATACAGACTTTAAAATGCAGACGTCTTTTCCTTACTAATGAAAACAAGTTTTCCTTGAATCCACAATCAGGGGAAATAAAATTAAGCAATAATTATAGTAAAGTAGTAATAATAAATTATAATAAAAATGTATTAACGTTGGCGCCAATAGCCTAGTGGTGAAGTGCGCTGACATATAGCACCATGGTGCTCACGGCGACCCGAGTTCAATTCCCGGCTCAAGGTCCTCTGCCGACCCTTCCCCTCTCTCTCTCTGATCCCAATACTTTCCTGTCTGTAACCTTCACTATCCAATCCAAATTAAAGGTGAAAAACCCCTAAAAATGTATTAACACGACAAATAAACAAATGGTGACGGTCGATTAAATAACTACCCTGCTGAAAAAAAAAAACTACTGAAAACAGCCTAGGTTAGCCTGGTTTTAGAGAAGATTTGGTCATTTCCAGCCTGGTCTTTGTTGGTCAGGCTGGAAAATGGCCAACTAAATCCAGCTTGACCAGGCTGGTTTGAGCTGGTCAAGCTGGTTTTAGCTGGTCATCTTTCAGCCCGACAAGCTAAGACCAGGCTGGAAATGGTCAAAACCCCTCTAAAACCAGGCTGGTCAACCACCTAGGCTGATTTAAGCAGTTTTTTTCAGTAGGGTAATAATCAATAAAATGATTAAATGAATGACTAATTATTATAAATATTGTATGATTAAAATAATTAAATGGAGAATAATTTAATATAAACCAATAAAAATAAATCATCACAAAAGGAATGATTTACCGTGCAACAAGGATTCTCAGATCCTTTGTTAGATTCTACAGTAATAGCAACAAAAATAATGATGACAACAGCACGATTTATTGTTTTAGTTGAAGTCTTTAATACATTAAATCAGTGTAATACTAAATACACCTTTGATGAACAATTTGTTCTGAGACGGAGGCCCATAAACAATTTTTTTAAATAGCTAAAGATACTTCATACACACAAATAAATAAATGGATGAACCAATATTTGCACAGCTCACCATTCCTTTAAATCAACAATCAATTTCTACAGCAAAAATGGACTGCAAAAACCGCAAAACTTTCAAAGAGCCCCTATAATACATTGAATAGGGTCGTATGTTGGTTTTAAGGGTCTCCAACATCATGCAAGGTCAAAAAACACTTTCATGGTCTTATAATCTGCATTTATTCTTACCTGCTTATCCCAGCGACTCCCCTATGATCCGTTCAGCGATTCATTTGTTCCCAAACCCCTCCTTAGCGTGAAGCTAATCTGCGCTGATTGGACCGATGACAGCCTGTTGCGATTGGTCGACAATGACAGCGTTCAAGACAAGAGTGAAATGCCCAGCACAGCTTATCAACAACATAGAAGTAGTCAGAGTAGTAATAATAATATTAAATCTTATTTATGTTGCACTTTTGTCAGACTCAAGAGCATCAAAACACAGTAGAACATGAAATACACAAAAAAGTAAGAATAATAAATAAATAAAAGGAAGCCGCATAAGTAATGAGCAGTAGTAAAAAGATGAGTTTTAAGAAGTTTTTTCTTAAAACAGTCCAGGAGTGTCAGTGCCAATAGCCTAGTGGATAAGTGCGCCAACATATAGCACCATGGTGCTCACGAGTTCGATTCCCGGCTCGAGGTCCTTTGCCGTCCCTACCCCTCTCTCTCTGCTCCCAATATTTTCCTGTCTGCAACATCTACTGTCCTTTCCAAATTAAAGTAAAAAAAAAAAAACTAAAAACTATATATATATATATATATATATATATATATATATATATATATATATATATATATATATATATATATATATATATATATATATATATATATATATATATATTAAAAAAAACAGTCCAGGGAACTGTTTAGTTTGTGGGGACAGCATTCCACAATTTAGGTGCTCGATAAGAAAATTCCCTACCTCCCATGGTGCTAAGTTTGCAACCAGGCTGAAACGAGGTGAGCCTTGAAGCGGAACATAGATTACGAGAGACGAGGTAGATATAATGCTGCGTTCACACCAGACGCGTCAAGCGCGAGTGATTTATGTAGAAAAGGCTGTGATGTGTATTTATGAAACAATAGCGCCCTCTTGTGACTTTACTAAGCATTACATTCATGACGCACCTTCCCCTTTAAATGATCCCTTTAATAGTTAAAGGGGAAACAGTTCAGAGCACGGACAGACTTCGCTAGCATCACATTGTTATTGCCGAGTGCGTTCAAATACAAGTGAGTGCCCCTTTAAAGTGTTATTTGTAGTGTTATTTATCATTTATATAGCAAAATGTTTAGCTGTCTATGCCTAGGTTCAGTATAATCACTCATTATTGATTATAATCATATAAGTGTGTCACAGGCGTCGAGTATTGCATCATCCATCGGCTCGCTAATGAATACTTATGTGAGATGAGTTAAAGGGAATATTTGGGTTTAATATTGTTAACTGTTCATCACTTTGAGTATTTACATATTGTTACTTTATGTTAGAAGTGATATTTATGGTGAGAGTTAAACCACAATAACTGATTCTCTCAAGTTTACATGTTAGTGTATATAATGCCGATTCACAAGTGTTATTTAATGTCATACATGTCTGAATATATCAGTATGTTGTTATTCTGCTGCCTTATATTATAATATCTGACTAAGAGCTATCTATGTGTAGCATATTGTCATTATATTATTGTTTCTGTTCAGCACTAATAGATATTTGTTATTTCTGTTCATTTAGAACCATTCATATTAAGCTACACTTCAAAGCATTGTGCTGCTCTGCTGTACTTCCAAATCCAAGGACTGTAAACTCTCAACTAGTATCTGTTTATTAAAGTGTTCTTCGTCTCTGACCGGACGACTTATGTCTGCTCAATTTCCACCAGCACCCACACTAGTCTACTTTACAATTTACATGTTAAGTCAATGCAAACGCGCTAATAGACATTAGACATAGACAACAGGCGCGAATGACGTGAATTGCGCGGTGCGCATGGCGTGGCGCGAATTGAGCGTTTTGCGCGTTTGACGCGAATCACTCGAGTTCGAAAATCTGAACTTCAGTGGACATTCGCGCCGCGTTAACCAATCAGGAGCTTGCTCTTGTGGGGGCGTGATTGTGACGCATGACCTGTTGTCGGTGTCCCAGGGGAAATCCCCCAGCAGACACCGACAAGAAGTTCACCAAACTGGGCTGGGCTCAGTCAGAAGCACCGTTGAAAACCTCCATCAGCCAGGTTCAGTTTCTGGAGGAGCCTATGAGCTTAAAGAGCTGGATGCACCTCTGAAAGCATGTAGTGGACTCAGACACGGTCCTAAACGTATCGACGCAGTTTTTCATCCTTCATAAAGCACATAAACACTGTTATTTTCTTCATAAAATCCATGTTAGCCATTTAGCTATGAAGCTAGAGTCACGGGGCAGACAGAAGCCCTGCCCATCAGGCGAATCCGCGTCTGTTCTGAAGTGAATTTGACGCGCGAATGAAGCGAGTAACCTCAAATGTTTACGCGGCTATTTACGCGGGTTCCGCATCTGGTGTGAACACAGCATAAGATCACATATATAATCAGGAGCAGAACCGTGAACAGCTTCATAACTGTTGAAGTACAGGGGTAATGTGAGAGCGAGATGATGTGTGGGTTAACACACGTGCGGCTGAGTTTTGAACATATTGGAAAATCTATATATATTTGTCCCCGACTCGGTCCCAGTCATTCCCCTCGCTGGCCAGCAGAGGTCACCATCCACGGACTATTAACCATTACGTCATCCACTTACACTGATAGCCTGCACACCTGAAGCGCATCCACTTAATCACCTACGCTCACGCATATAAGCAGCACACAAACATTCACTCATTGCCAAGTCTTGTTCTGCCCTGGCTAACACTACTGAACGCAGGGCCGGAGCAAGCTAAACTGCCGCTCTAGGCAAAGGATGGTCACGCCGTCTATTCTGCCGCCCTAGACGCGGCTATAACTGAGGCGCGAGTGGCGAGGGTAGTTTAGGGGACGCCACCCTCTCTATTCTGCCTTGCTAGACGCGGATATAACTGAAGCGCGGGTGGCGAGGGTAGTTTCGGGGACGCCGCTCTCTTTATTCTGCCACCCTAGACGCGGATTTAATTGTGGGCGCGGGTGGCAAGGATAGTTTCGGGGACGCCGCTCTCTCTATTCTGCCACCCTAGACGCGGATAAGGGCGCGGGTGGCGAGGGTAGTTTCGCGGACGCTGCCCTCTCTATTCTGCCGCCCTAGTCGGTCGCCTAGGTCGCCTCAATGAAGGCGCAGGCCCTGACTGAGCATTTCTCTACACTGCCTGCTTTCCCGTTGCTTACCTTGCCTTGTTCCTCGACCTCGTCCTGCCAGCCGCCTGCCTTGAACTCTAGCCTGAACACCGACCTTGATATTCGCCGCCTGTCTGAGACCCATGCCTGAACAATCATACTGTGGTTAACTGCCGTCAACCCTGCAACGTAACACTATTGTGTTTGAGGCGAGTTCGCACACGCATTACATCTGTCTGCTTGTCTTTATTAAACTGTGTTTAATAAATATACTGCAAATGGATCCCTCTGTGTCGGCCCCTTCATTACAAAATTATACATATTAGTTACTAACACCATAGTACACAGTACCCGGTTCTTACCAGTGTTATCAGGACTGGCGACGTGTCCATAGAGATAGTAGGCGGCATAATAGTGAGGGCGGCGTCCGCGAATCCCCTGGATTTCACTTTTATCCGCGACACCCACCCCCTTCCTCCCGGTCCTCACTTTCATCAGCAAACCGGCCACTTTCTTTTACACCTTTGGGTTGAGGGCGGTGTGATCGCCGTTCGCCTAAAGCGCCAGTTCAGCTTGCTCCGGCTCTGTTATTCAGACACCTCACCCTGAACCTAACCCCCCCAGGTCTCCCGGATTCTCAGGGACAGATGTTGGCAGGTATGTGTGTGCAGTTAAACACCAGCATATTGCTCTGTTCTTAACCATGACACACATGCAGTATTAATCCACACAGTGGCAACAGCTGAACTATTTTGAAACATGATCGCTGCAAGTATGTCGGAACAGCTGATGATGGCCATAGCAATGACAAACAGAAGGGGAACGCGAGCTCATGAACGCATTTAAATGCGTAAACAAAGCGGCACGCGTCGTGTTTTCAATGTAGCTTTAGATGCTATATCACAATATGAAGAGTTAACCTGATACAGTACAAGCGGTTACAAGTAACAAAACACAATTAAATACATCATTTCAAGCTAGAGAAAACAAGGAGGCAGCCATTTTAATCGTACATACTTGCACTTGTGAAATGGAGGGATCCATGTGCTGACATAGTCCTTCACATTGATGGCGTTTTCTGATCCTTCCTTTAACAAACGGCCGACGAATCCTCCGTTGTAAGCATGTCGTTTCCAGAAGCACCCGTACTGCACATAGCTGGGCTATGATGCTGAGGTATTTTTGCAAAAATAAACCTCAACCACTGACTCTTCAATTACAGGGAAAACAGCACTAACTTTCACCTCACACTTCTATTAACATTTAGCAGAGCACAGTGTTGATTCAACCAGAGTCTGCTACAGTGTGTGTGTAGCCTCTTTTTCTTTGCTACTGTACTAGTGGGCGGGGTTTCAACTTTCCAGTGGGCGGGGCTTAGATTCATATCCACGTCACGCCGAAACGGCTAAAGACTCGTTATCGACATGATTCATTTGAAGCACTATGAGTCGACTCTTTTGCAAATGAATCAATCATTTTAAACACTGTGCGCTTTCAGATTTACGCCTACGCTGGATATTTCACTTCACTTAGAGCTGTGATACACACTACATGGAAGGTCATTCTCAAAAAACCCTTAATGGAGGCTCTTTAAAAGAAACACTGATCACTATAAGAGAGTTACTAATCAACAGAATTTATTGACAAAGGAAAAAATACTCAGGCCAAAATAATAATCAAAACAATCCTTCATTTAACCTTTACCTTGCCTGTAAAGAAAGATGAAAACAAAGCAAACACATTTAGAAAAGTTTTGATGAATTCTATCACATCAATTTATTAAAACAAAAGCAAATGACCTTAAAATCAAACGGAGAAGTAGGAAGTTTAAGGAAGTATGTCATATCATTAATATTTTTAAACTGATTATTTTCATAAATTATTTGAATGATTATAAACATTTTTATAACAATTCAAGACCTTTTTTACTCAAACGTTGATGCATCGCTTGCTTTTGTTCATATCTCAGACTGGTCTACCTATTAAATATTAATGACAACAGAACATTGGTTGCTCTACAAATATTTTTTTTTTATTGTAGAATAAAGAATAAACCATTATGACCAATAGAGTTCAGAAAAACGGCATCAGTATGTTGTAAACCGATCCTTAATTTTAGTTTTGTAACTATTAAAGGGCACCTAGGTTACCCCTTTTTTCAGATTTAATATAAGTCTTTTGCGTCTCTAGAATGTGTATATAAAGTTTCAGCTCAAAACACCCCTCAGATTTTTCATTATACCTTTTACAAGATGCTGTTTTATACTGATTTTCAGCAGGGGGTGGTTTTTTCGTACTGCGCCTTTACGGCGAGTTCTGCCTACTGTTTCTACGTGCCTTCCCGCGTGCTTTAATCTCCTCCCTCTTTAATCTCCTCCTCCCCGTCTTCTTTTACAAATGTTCGGACACAAGGCTGTGCTGATGAAGTAATGCTGAAGTAAATCGCTGTAATTAATTACACACATACTCTGTTTTAAAACAGTTTTATACAGTTTTAAAACACTGTAAACATGTGAAACTTACTCTTAATCACATTTGATGATGATTGCTGATCCTAGCGAACAGAACAGACCTTTTATTCCCGGTTGCTTTGCGTATGTCTGTCTGGTCTTGTTGACATATACACACGACTACAGGAACATTTTAATGCGCGCAGCTGTCAATCAATTCGGTGGGCGGGGGGACTGCACTTCTACGTAAAGTTGCAGTCGCTCTGAAAACCAGAGTCTGGTCCACCGTTTTTATGAAAAAAAAAGGACTGGGTGTGTTTATATCACCCCAATATGATGGTCTATACACTATATATACACATGTTTGTCCAAATAGCTTGAAAAGTAGATTTTTCACCATAGGTGCCCTTTAAATTATTTTTCAAATTTCATAACGAATGGTGAAAAATCATATTTCTATAATTAAATGATCTATTTTGGCTTTAACAAACGTATCCCTCAGGTTTTTCCAAAAACTTTTCTCCTTTCCCACGGCTGTTGCATTTTTTAGCCAATAATTATCGTTCATCTGGTATTCACTATGATCGTACCTGTTTCAGATAAAATCTCTTCAAAATGATTCATTATTCAACTCAAATGAAACACGGCACCGAGCGAACTGTTCGCTCGAGTCTCAAAAAATTGGATGCGCTCCGTCAGCCGAAATCATGTCGCGAGCACCCAAATCAAACCTCTGCAAACACCGCGATGATGTCACATTCACCGCGCACACTCAAGCGAGCTAGTGGACGCATCGAATAAAAACCAGGATTAAGGGGAAGGGCTAGATAGCCTTTGAAATAGATTTTTCAGGACCACACTCGAAAATTTCCCAGAATACACCAGCTACAACGGCAACGGAGTCAGAAGATGCAGTCATTTTTGTCATTATAACGAATTTTTACAACAAACAATCATATCTTTCAATACAATCATAACAGCGTTCGTGTTTTACCGTCATGCTTTAAAAAAAAAAAACCCGGCTAAATTTCGCCTACTATAGTCCATAATACATACCTGCCAACACCCCCTTTTCTCCCGTATATCAGACCCATCTACCATTTTGTCATTTTTCCCGGAAAACTCCCGAAATTTCACCCTTCACCTGTTCCTCAGCTTTTTGGTACAAAATCACTCCTGGATCGATGAATATTCCAATGACAGCGGCTGTTACCCAGTGTGCAGGACAGACTGGGGCACCTCTTTCAGGTCGCTCTGCTTTGCATAGACACATCCTCCTAACCTACCCGCCCCCTCCATTTTTTGAGCCTCTGTAAACTCTCTGAACAGTACAGGATACAGCCATATCCTCCCCCCTGCCCCACTGTTCTGTATTTTGGCAAACACATGCCCCCCCCCCCGGTCTCCCGGCAGGTATGCATAATAGTAACTCCTGTATAGTCGTCCCACAACATACTTTCACATCTGTCACTCGATGACAGTCGAATTCCCGGTCAGAATAGTCTATTGCAGGGGTGGCCAACCCTGTTCCTGGAGAGCCACCTTCCTGCAGATTTCAGTTGCTACCCATATCAAACACACCTGAACCAATTAATAAGGACCTGAACACCACGTAGTAATTACAGGCAGGTGTGTTTAATATGGGTTGCGACTGAAATCTGCAGAAAGGTGGATCTCCAGGAACAGGTTTGGCCACCCATGATCTAGTGGCTACGAATGAGCTTTTTACAGTGTCTGGAATAACGTTAATTCTGTTGTCTTGTGTTTTCATAGTTACTATCATACAGTTACGATCTTATTGCCACATTATATCGTTATGATAACATGATTAGGGCTGCAACAACGAATCAATTAAATCAACTACTAAAAGCTTTGGCAACGAATTTCATAATCGATTCGTCATGTTGCATGACGCGTAGACATTTGATTATTAGAAAAACTTTAGTTGAGCACGGAGCAGAGTGAACGCACTCTGTCTCTCTCGTGCCACCAGAGTTCAGTGCCTCATAGACAGGATGGAGCAAAAAAAAAAAAACGAGCGGAGGTTACGTTAGAGGAAAGATACTGTACATGGCGAAGGCAGAGAAATCTGTGCGACCCCAGTCATCCAAGGTGTAGGAGCATTTTACACCAAATAAACAAAAGTGTGTTATCGGCCAAGTATGCAAAAGTGATGACGGGAGCACCACGGCAATGATCCAGCACCTGGAACGCAAAAAAAAATCTGATTCATCGATTAATCGGAAAAAGAATCGTCAGGTTAACCGATTATTAAAATAATCGTTAGTTGCAGCTCTAAACAGGATATTGTTGCCTTCAGTGACTTCCAAGAGATTCTGATGACCTATGATGACGTGTGCAGGTGCTGTAGTGCTGTCTCATTCCTTAGGGGTAAATTTGAAGACCTTGCCCTTCAAACTCTGTTTCAAGGGCCAAGGGGAACGAAAATAGAACTGGAATTGGACCCTAATCAAGTATTCCAAACAGATGTGATCTAAAAGTACTTCAGTAATTACTTCTCAAAGTCCGAGTACTTGAGCAAAGTGTTTGGACACTCACCTCTGTTCTCCAGTGTGGAGCTTCATGTGAGACTTGAAGGTATTTTTATTACCGAAACTCTTTCCACACTGATCACATGTGAACGGCTTTTCACCAGAGTGAGTTCTCATGTGGCAATTAAAGTTGCTAATATGAGCAAAACGTTTTCCACACTGCGGACAACTGTACGGTTTCTCTCCGGTGTGAATCCTCATGTGGGCTTTCATGTATTCCGAATGAGTGAAGCTCTTTCCGCACTGTTCACACTTAAACAGCTTCTCTCCAGTGTGAGTCCTCATGTGGCAATTAAGAGAGTTTTTACAGGTATAGTTCTTGCCGCACTGTGTGCAAGTGAAAGGCTTCTCTCCGGTGTGAGTTCTCCTGTGGACATAAAGGTTGGTCCTGTGAGCAAAAGTCTTCCCACATTGAGAACAAGTGTAAGGTTTCTCCCCGGTGTGAACTCTCATGTGGGCTTTCATGTATTCTGAATGAGTGAAGCTCTTTCCACACTGTTCGCAGGTGAAAGGCTTCTCCCCGGTGTGAGTTCTCGTGTGTGTTCTGAAGGCTGCTTGATAAGCGAACCGCTTCCCACATTGTTGGCATGCGAATGGTTTCTCTCCGGTGTGAACTCTCGTGTGTCCTTCAAGTTGTTTTTTGGCACGGAAACTCTTTCCGCACTCAGAACACGAGTAGGGCTTCTCTGCAGTGTGAATGCTCATGTGGGCTTTGAGGTTTGGCTTTTGGCTGAATCTCCTTCCGCAGTGATCACACGAGAAGGGCTTCTCTCCCGTGTGAATCCTGATGTGGATTTCAAGTGCTTGTCTTTCGCGGAAACTTTTTTCACACTGTGGGCAGGTATACATCCTCTCTCCAGTGGGAATTCTCTCGCACTTCTTCTTTAGGGATTTCTCATCAAGCGTTGAATCTTGGTGTTTGTCATACTGACATTTCTGTTGGGTTTCATTCCGGTCTTGAGTCTCTTCTTTCATCACCATCAGCTCTGAAGACAAGTGAACCCCAAATTTAATGACACAAAGCAGCACACATCAAAACCAAAATGAAAGCATTTAGGCATCAAAACTAACTTGGCCGCAAATCAGAATGAATGCACCTTGTACATTCGAAAAAGTTGTGCGAACCAAACTGGTGATTTCAGCAGTTGGAGTAAGGGTACTCAAAATAATACCTTTACCAAATCCTACCAAAGTACCATTACTTGTCGGCACTGATAGCCCAGTGGTTCAAGAGTTCTCACTTAGCTGATTATAAAGCTTGTTTGGGATGCTGTCCCAGGAGAGAGCCCTGAGCTCATAAGATCCTCGAGCCTGGGGCTCCCTCCCGTTTGCAAGGAGGAGTTTGAGCTCAGGTAGATCTCGAGAACTCCCTTGCTGTAGTAGCTAACAAACAGATAGGGATTACTCATAAGAGATAACTACTTACTAGGAGCATGTCCATGGTGCCAATTTGGATTACTCAATTAACCTAAGTTGCATGTTTTTGGGAGGAAACCCGGGGGAAATCCACGTGAGCAAGGGGAGAATGAGTAAACTATGCACAGAAAAGTCGGCTGGCTTGGTAAGGACTAGAACCAGTGATGTTCTTGCTGCAAGGAAACAGTGCTAACCACTGGGCCATCGTGTCTCCCATCTAGGAAAGAAGGAGGAGTATGGGTGGAAGGAGGGATTCTTTTAAACGTAGATGGTTGTTATATGGAACTTAAGGTATTTATAGTGGCTTAGGAATCGTCTGATTGGTAAATCATGAATTGGATAATGCGGGACCAGCTGCAAGCAATCATAAGCATGTGATCCTCTCGAAATTAGTTTATAAATAAACTGCACTTAGTGAGACATGTAGCACAGCAGTGTTCCGGGTGCCTTGAGTGGAAATATAGTCAGTCTTGTGGAACTTTCTCGACCCCATCCCAAAAACACAGCTGCTCATCTTCACTCCAGGGGGCATTCAAAAATGCAGGGTGTGTAAAATACACGGGCAAGTTTCATATTTAGCCAACTGTCAATAACAAAAGTTCGGCTTTCTGTTGAGAATGTCTTTTGTGTTCATGGTTAATTGACTGCACTTACTCTCAGCAGAGATTTTGGCACTGATGTACCTCAAGTTGGAAGGTTTACGCCTGATTAACACAGGGCGTCATCGCCAACACTTCCTATTCATTTTCAATAGATGTCTTCAAGCATTGCAAAACAAAATTGTGGGTGTTGCTTGCTGCAAAAAGTTGGGAATTTCTCAACTTTTCAAGCTTCAACGGAAGCATCAGCCCATCAGATACCTCAGCTCAGAAAGTAGCCAATTGCGACCCAATTACATTGGCTGATGCTGCTATGACCAAGCCTATGCACCAAGCTTCAGACATGCCCCCCTTGTCGATGCCCGTGTTATTTGTGTCCTACTGTGAGTTCAGAGTTTAGCAGATGGTAAGTTAACCCTGCTACTTGGAATACACCCCAGCTTTAACATCTGTAATTGGTCCGCGGCTCGAGATTGCTCCCTCAGCCTGATCAGCTTAGTGGGTTCCTCTCTTGGGCACGCTGATTTGTACTCATTCCATGGCTTTCTCAAGCCCCTGCACACTAATTTGTTTTAGTTTTACAGCGTTTTAGAACGAAAACAATCCACATCCACACTGGTGTTTTACCTAGCGTTCCTGAAAAGATCTCAGTCCACATTAAACTGCTGAAAACGGACATCTCGTGACCACACACATTAATTCCTTACATTTATATAGCGCTTTTCTGGCCACTCAGAGCACTTTACACAATGGGGGGAATCTCCTCATCCACCACCAGTGTGCAGCATCCACCTGGATGACGCGACGGCAGCCATTTTGCGCCAGACCGCACACCACACCAGCTGATTGGTGGAGAGGAGACAGTGATGAAGCCAATTGGGATATGGGGATGGTTAGGAGGCCATGATGGACAGAGGCAGATTTGGCCAGGATGCCGGGAATAAACCCCTACTCTTTTTCGAAGGACATCCTGGGATTTTTAACGTATCATCCGAAAGACGGCGCTCACTGAGCAGTATAGAGTCCCCGTCACTATACTGGGGCATTAGGACCCACACAGACCGCAGGTTGGGCGCCCCCTGCTGGCCTCACTAACACCACTTCCGGCAGCAACCTAGCTTTCCCATGTGGTCTCCCATCCAGGTACTGACCGGGCGCAGCCCTGCTTAGCTTCAGTGGGCGACCATGTGAGAGTTGCAGAGAGCTAGCTGCCGGCTATAACACACTGCCGGCCAGACACACTCAGGCATGCACTGCAGTGTATGTGGACATCTGAGCTCCAGGCAGTCAGCAGGTGCTTTGAGCACACCTACCCAGGTGAGAGCAGCGCATGTTGGACAGTTCACCAAGGATCTACCGCTGGATCTCATCTCACTATAGTTGTTAAACGTGATATTTAAATTATCTGGTCTAGATCTAACGACTCTTTTGTCTTTTGAATCTATTACTTGTTCTCAGGGAACTTGTTTTGAGCGCAAAGTTAATAGAATAATTTTTGTGATTCTGCACATTTGACTGAGTGCTCGCCTGTATTTCCTAAATTGTATAAACGTATTGTACGTTACACTTTTATATTGGCCGTTATCGATTATTAAAACTGATATTCAGCAAAAGAAAGGGTGTTTCGTATTTTCAGTGAAAAGGAAAGGAGGCAGTCATGTTATAGACTCCGTTTTGTTATGCATACAGTGAAGATGACGCTCATATATGGGCAGCCCCATACTTATTACATTTTTTTTTACCATGTGACCATGCTGTAAAAACCGACAGTTAATCAAATAAATCGATCTTTGAAAAAGAAAACTAACCTGTTTGTTCCTGAGGATCTTCATGTTTGACCACAAATGTGTCTTCAATCTTCAGGTCTTCACTCTCCTCTTTAATAAACGCCATCTTTATAACAGTGTGGAGATCAGTCGCTTCAGCAGGAGTTTTCCTCTGTGTTTGGACACTTTGTCCTGTATAAAATGAGAACAATGTACAGAAATAAAAGAAATACACACTCAATCTGCGTCTCAATCTGCTCTCTAGTTCACTACTCAGTGCACTGCTGAGGGAATAAATAGTTGTAATAATTCATATACAGTATAAATTATATACATAATTTGTAAATTGTTTAATACAGTGGTTCTCAAACTGTGGTACGTGTACCACTAGTAATACGCGGGCTTACTTCTAGTGGTACGCGGAGTAATAAAAGAAAAAAAAGAATACAGTTTTAATCATTTGATGCGTACGATGACACAGATGTGATCTGCACTGGCTGTTCTTTACAGCCTACGATCAAAGCGATGTGCTTGGAATGTTTACTTTAGTGTATCGCGTCATCAGCTGCTAAAAATCAATCAAATAGACGGAGAACCAGAGAAAGAGGCTCGAGGCGCTTGCGGAACATATACGTGCTAGAGTAGTGGTCCCCAGCCCCCAGGCTACAGACCGGCACCGGTCTGTTGATCAATTGGTTCCGTGCCGCACAAGAAATCATTAATTATTCCTGTTTTATTTATTATAGTCTGAACGATTTTTTATATTGAAAAATGACCGTATTCTCTTGTTACATCTCGATCACCTGAGCGCAAAAATTTAACCCACAGGCTAGCAAAATGAGTACTGCCAACGAATGAACCCATTTATCAACAAGTCAGGTGAATCCAGCATGTCTGTGCTAAAGATCAACTGCTGGAGATCGCAAATAATGGCGGCTGTTCTCATATCGCACAGGTTTATTATTCGTAATGAAGGCGCAAGCAGTGCGACGCGTTTGCGTATTCCAGGCGTGCGCAGTTGAAAACATGTCAGCTTTTAAGAATGCGAGTCACATGACAATAACAGAACGATCAGCTACATATTTTGTATGGAATATTATTTTGGCTGACTGATTATCTCAGACAAACACAGAACGCTAAAAACACGACAGTGCTTTTAATTTTCTCCATGAATAAAACTTGAATCAGTGAATTAATCTGCCTCGTTACTGAACTGTGCAGTGCTCTAGATGCTTTATTAAGCCTACTACGCTACTGTACTTTAATAGTACTGATAGTAAATTTTTATTAGTAATGCGCTTCTCTTAGGGTGCTTTCACACTTGGTTAATTTGCCTGGACCGTACCCAAGTTCGATTGTCCCCCTCCCTTGCCAACTTTTCGGTCGGTTTGTGTTCACACTGTCTTTTTTCCTTCTGAACCCCGGTACGCTTGCGTCATCGAGCTGCTGTTTTACTTACGGCTGTTGCTAGGTGACGGTCACGAAAGCAAAGCGCCGAAATGGAAAGACGCCCACACATCGCGGTCATTCTGCCTTTACTGAAGCTTTTGGCTTTGGACATACAGAAAGCGACTCGCGTCCATCTGCCGCAAAAAATATTCACACAGAACATCTGCAGAAGCTGTTTTTGGAGGAGACGAGCAGAAATGATCACTGTGTTTGCCCTGGCTCAGTTCCGCTTGTCACCAAGGTACGATACGTGACACACACACGAAAGAACGCTATGAAAACGATAGTTTGCTGTATAGTTGGTGGTTCACTTCGGTTATTTGGCTGTTGCTAGGTGTAAAGTCACGAAAGCAAAGCGCCAAAATGGAAAGACTTCCGCACATCCCAGTCGATTTGCGGTTCGCATTCTGCGTGAATGTCTCCTAAATCTGCGTGTGCGGTGAACATTTTGCATTGAAAACTGGTCGCACGGCACCAATTTGTTGCAGTCGCACAAATGCTCCAAAATATATTTTGAAGTCGCATGGATAAAATTTTGGCCGCATATGTGACCAAAACGGTCGCATTTTGAGCCCTGTCGCATTAACCGTACCCCAGACCACCTCTTTCAGGCGGACTCGGGTACGGTTCACGAGTGCACACCAGAGTTCAGAAGACACGAGTCATCAAATGACGTCAAATGAACCAGGGTGCGGACCAAAAGTGTTAGTGTGAAAGCACCCTAATGCTGCGTTCACACCAGACGCAGAACGCGCGTCAAGTGTGAGTGATTTACATGTTAAGTCAATGCAAACGCGTGAATAGACATCCTGCAGCGTGATATGCGCGAATGATGCGGCGCGAATTCAGCGTTTTGAGTTCTACAATGTGAACTTCAGCGGACATTTGTGTCGCGTTAACCAATCAGAAGCTTGCTCTTGTGGGGGTGTGATTGTGACGTAGAACCTGTTGATAGTGTCCCGGGGAAAATCCTCCAGGCGACACTGACAACAAGTCATCAAACTGGGCTTGGCTTAGTCAGAAGCACCGCTGAAAGCCTCCGTGATCCAGGTTCAGTTTCTGGAGGAGTTTATGAGCTCACAGAGCTGGATGCACCTCTGAAAGCATGTAGTGGACTCAGACACGACCCTAAACGTATCGACGCTGTTTTTCAGCCTTCATAAAGCACATAAACACTGTTATTTTCTCAATAAAATCCACGTTAGCCATTTAGCTATGAAGCTAGAGTCACCGGGCAGACAGAAGCCCTGCCCATCACGCGAATCCGCGTCTGTTCTGAAGTGAATTTGACACGCGAATGATGGGGATTTCACGCGCAAATGAAGCGAGTAAACTCAAATGTTCACGCAGCTATTTACGCGCGAATAGCACAATTTATCCGCGCTTTCCGCGTCTGGTGTGAACACAGCATCAGACTCAAAGCACTACAATGCTAACACTAGCAGAAAGAGCACAACAATAAAAAGATACAACAAAACAATAAAAATATAAACCATGAAATAGTATAAAACAGTTAACAAAAATAAACATAATAAGTTAAAAGTAATGCTAAAAAGGAAACAGTCCAGAAAAGCGGCATTCCACAGCTTCAGCGCACTGTATGAAAAAGCCCTGCCACCCATGGTCTTAAGTGTACAGCGTGGCTGATACAGGGTAAGTCCCGATGCCGAATGAAGACTCCAAGCTGGAGCGGCGAGAGTTACCAGGTCACAAATGCAACCAGGCGCTAGCCCATGCACTGCTTTGAAGGTTAAAATCAAAATCTTAAAATCAATCCGTGACCTAATAGGAAGCCACTGTAGTTATTGAAGTACAGGAGTAATATGGTGGCCTGATGATGAGTGTGTCAGAATTTTGAATATACTATAATCTTCTGAAAAACCCTAAAAAAGTGAATTACAGAAATCAAGACGTGATGTGATAAAGGCATGGATAAGCCTCTCCGCATCAGGTGAGGAGAGAAATGGTTGGTTTTATATTCGCCTGTTTGTTCGGTGACAACTTTATCATTGGTACTTTTGAATATTCGGTCTGAAATCACATGTAAGAATGACTTCAAAACAACATTAGCACTTTGTTTGACCTTGACCGATGCTGTACTTTAAAAGTCATTGGCTGCTAGTCGAATTTCACTATTAAGAACTTGCAGAGAATACTGTTATGAATAATGTTATTAAGGGGAAAGTGCAAATGTGTGAAATTAAAACCAACTGTACCTCACTGTTTATGCTGCTAATCATTTGGAACCCAGGCGGGCACAGCTCTTCACCTATGAATCGATAGCAAAAACACTTAGATGTACATTTGTTTAAACACTAAGAATTTATAATCTGAAGAAATCCTCATAAATCATCTGTAAATATAATATAAGGTGTATTTAAGACATATATTTTGAAAAATGTATACATAAAATCGATGTTTTCTTTGTTTATAATCTAAGGAGGTTTGTATTACTCTATATTGTTAAGTAAAATAAATATTAGCCAGTGACTAAATTCGTTTTTAATAACAGATTTGGGATACTAAAGAACAAAATGTAGCGATTTTTGTGTCTAGTGTGCTTTATGCTAGCACAAATAAACTTGTTTTTCATTAGTAACGTAGTACATCGCGTGTAAAAGCATTATAGCCATGAATAAACGTTTCGATTTATAAACCTCATCATTTTGAAGCACAAACCTTTTGATGGACCGCAGACACAGCAGCGCGACGCAACCTTATGACGTCACACACTCACGCCAAAATAAAAGTCTTTAAAACGCTGTAAACAAATTCACAAATAGAAAAAATCCTAATAATAATTTAACAATATGTCGATTCCTAAAGTCGGCTATACAGATTTAAGCTTCTGCATTGATCTAATGTAAATGTGCAAAGTATTCTGAATTATTAATCTGCAAAGCATTTAATATTTTGCAGGTTTCAAGTCAAATTTAAGACTCTTTTAAGACCAGTATTAATAAAATTTTTGATTTACACAGCGCTAAATACTAATGATTATTTTTAATGGCATGATTTTCCACAAAAAAAAAACAACAACAAAAGATTTAAATATTTTTTTCTTAGCGACATATTTTAATGTGTCAAAACAAGAAAACTTTAGTTCATTCATTCATTTTCTATTTGACTAAGTCCATAATCTGGGGTCGCCACAGTGGAATGAAACGCCAACTTATCCAGCATATGTTTTACGCAGCAGATGCCCTTCCAGCTGCAACCCATCTCTGGGAAACATCCATTCACACTCATACACCATCGTCAATTTAGCCTACCCAATTCACCTATACTACATGTCTTTGGACTGTGGGGGACCCAGAGCACCCGGAGGAAACCCACACGAACATGGGGAGAACATGCAAACTCCACACAGAAATGCCAACCGTTCCAGGCTCAAATCAGCGACCTTCTTGCTGTGAGGCGACAGCACTACCTACTGCGCCCCCGCGTCACCCCTAAAACATAAGTTGTATACACTATTTTCAACACAATATTGAGTTTCTTTTTTTAATGACATGTCAAACATTATTTAAAGTATCATTATTGTGGAGGTAATTACATGAATAATCAAAATATATACTTGTTGGCTTTTGGTCCAAACTGATTGAGTATAACTTATATTCAACTTAATGCATTTCTGTTATTATCTCAAGAAACAGTGTAATACTTGATTTTATTAACATGGATTGTTGGTGATTAGATGGATGTCGGCCTAATTGGCTAGCTTTATTAGGACAGAGGAAAATTAAGACCTGTTTAAACATACAACACAAATATTTCAGTGAATTTAAGACCTTGAATTTTGTTTTTGAAATTTAAGACTTTTTAAGACCCAGCGGACACCCTGATTCTCAAAAAGAGTGAGATCTGGAGAAACTATCACTCCACAAGGTGCATGGGAATAAACATAGCCATAAATGTTTATACTGACGCAGTGTTGGGCAAGCTACTTGAAAAATGTAGTGAGCTAAGCTATTAGCTACTCTACTTAAAATGTAGCTGAACTGCACTAAAAGCTACCCCCAGGGAAATGTAGCAAGCTAAGCTAAAAGCTACATGGCAAAAGTAGCTTAGCTACATCGAATTTTCATTTTTAAATCGAAGCAACTTAAAATCCAAGTCAATCATATCTCAGTGAACAATAAAACTGTCAACGAAACATATGAGGCAGAATTCAGCTCAGTTATTTACTGTAAATATGCTGTACTAAACAGAAACACTTTAAAGTATATAACAGCTAAAACAAAAAATCCAATAAAACCTGGAGTTACAAAAATACTATAGTCATATATTTATTTTGGAATAAGCGTTATAGTGTGTGGTATAATGCTTATTCCAATATATATATATATATATATATATATATATGTGTGTGTGTGTGTGTGTATATACACATACGTACACACTAAAGTATTTTGAGCACGGCATCAGAAATTAAGTTATTGCATCCAGGGCCGGCGCTTCCATAGAGGCGACCTAGGCGGTCGCCTAGGGCGGCAGAATAGAGAGGGCGGTGTCCCTGAAACTACCCTCACCACCTGCGCCCTTATCCGCGTCTAGGGTGGCAGAATAGAGAGAGCAGCGTCCCCGAAACTATCCTCGCCACCCGCGCCCACAATTATATCCGCGTCTAGGGTGGCAGAATATAGAGAGCGGCGTCCCCAAAACTACCCTCGCCACCCGCGCCTCAGTTATATCCGCGTCTAGCGCGGCAGAATAGAGAGGGTGGCATCCCCAAAACTACCCTCACCACCCACGCCTTAGTTATATCTGCGTCTAGCGTGGCAGAATAGAGAGGGTGGCGTCCCCTAAACTACCCTCGCCACCCGCGCCGCAGTTATAGCCGCGTCTAGGGCGGTTTCACTTTAGGTTTAACGGGGGCAGTTCAGCTTGCTCCGGCCCTGATTGCATCGTAACTTACTTCTCGAGGTATGGTCACAAGGAATCCTGCTTCAGAAATAACTCCTCTCCCTCAGTCATCTTTTTATCAAGCAAGTTTCACCGGAGGTAGCAGTAACGCACCAAAAACATTGTTATGGAGCAGGGCCGGAGTGGGACTCTTTTTCAGCCCTGGAGTTTCAAGCCATAGACTGGCCCACCTCAGTTCACGACTGACTATATTAAAATAAAGTCATTTCCGATTCAATTCATTGAATTCTAATGACACTATCACGTCTTTTTCAAGAAAACAGCTGCTTTAGAACTTCAAATGCAAACCTTACAGTTTTATATGTATTAACAATTAAAAAAACAAACAAAAAAAGGAATTACCTAGGTGAGGATTGAACACGGATCGACGACGTCGGAACACAACATGCTGACCACTGCACCACATTGGCGCTGTTACACTTGTGTGGCCGGAATGATAGTTAGATGATCAATACCCTGCAGGCTGCATTTTGCTCATAGGGCTGCGAGACAAAAAATTAGAAGAGCGGAGCTGCGGCAAGATAATGAATAAAAAGAGTGAGGCTATGGTCAAATAAATAAATAAATGAAAAAAAGTGCGACTGCTGAGAGTGCAAGCAGCAAGAAACACCGGCCCTTGTGGCCAAAAGATGGACCGGAACTCTCCCGGTCCTCCCGATTCGCCTATCCAAGCCTGTTGTCGAACACCGTAAAACAGGAAGAAGAATATATCGTCATTCTCGCCATCATATGGATTTACTTTCATTGGGTAGACACAGGCCTCACAGCTCCGTGAATGTCGGTGCAGTCACTTAATGATCCGCGATCGGTAAATGTAGCTTGTGTGGACGCTACTGCGCTACTTGACGAATAAAATAGCTTCGCTACTGAGAAATGTAGTGAAGCTAATAGCGTCACTACTTGTAGCGAGACTACTGCCCAACACTGCACTGACGGTTCATTAGACTTCGACAAGTTTATCTTTATTAAACCTTGTGCCTAAAATCAAATGTAAAATATTCAAATAATTAATTATTAAGCTTATTATAGTGCTAATTGTTAATTTCCTTTACTGTTAACTGATTTACAAACATATTTTTACTCCCCATAAAAGTCCTAGACGAGTAAACAGATTAACACTGAAAAGTTAAAATAAACATGCTGTCTTTAACTATTGATTTCTGTAGTATGTTCATTTATAGAAGGAATAATGTTAGAATACAATCTTATATAGCAATATAAAGAAGTATTGTTAATTGACTAAAGCCTTAATTTCTATGCTAACGCTCAGCTATTACTCTTAATCTACAAATATCCATTCATTCATTTTCTTTTCGGCTTAGTCCCTTTATTAATCTGGGGTCGCCACAGCGGAATGAACCGCTAACTTATCCAGCAGCAAATGCCCTTCCAGCTGCAACCCATCAGTGGGAAACATCCATACACACTCATTCACACACACACTATGGACAATTTAGCTTCCCCAATTCACCTATACCACGTCTTTGGACTTGTGGGGGAAACCGCAGCACCTGGAAGAACCCGGATGCAAACTCCACACAGAAACGCCAATTGACCCAGCAAAGGCCCAAACCCGCAACCTTCTTGCTGCGAGGCGATCGTGCTACTCACTGCGCCACCATGACGGCCCCGAGTTGTGTTTATTTTCTGAATATTAGTTCATTAGAAACATGATATCTCTAGATCAGGGTTGTCCAAACTTGGTCTCGGAGGTCCGGTGTCCTGCAGATTTTAGCTCCAACGTGTCTCAATGCACCTGTATGGATGTTTCTAGACAGCCTAGTAAGAGCTTGGTTTGCTAGCTCAGGTTTGTCTGATTGGGGTTGGAACTTAACTTTGCAGGACACCGGCCCTCCAGGACCTCCAGACGTATAAGTAATAAAATCCTTTCACAACCAATAAGTTGAAGAAAGTAGTAAAGTTCAAGATAAAATACCCTTAATCGCACGCTTGTCTTCCTTCCCGTCTCCACGACAGCCCGCACTCACATTGGATCCGAACCGGACCACGTTTACTTCACCGATTATGCGCTGTTCAGTTTAACAGAAGAAAAGTGCTCTCGCTCAGCACAGTGGAGATTCCTTTGGTTATATCATTTTAGTCGCTTGGAATGCAAATATTTTGGCATGCAGATCGGCCACTTTTGACGCTCATAAATAATCATAAAACTCCTGATGCTAGGAGGTTTGCTAAAGGTGCAACTGTCGTGCAGTGAGGGATCTTTAATAAACTACGACAGTTTGCATTCATTAAACAGCAAAGACCCATGCACATGGGACGCTTTTTGTTCGCGTTTTCCGTCAACGTTTAACGCCTTGTGACTAAATAAAGGGCGTCAATGTGATCGTGCAAACCAACGAGCAAAACGGCATGTATTAAAGCATTATTTTTAAAGAAATGCCTCGTGCTCATTTTTGTGTCTTGAAGTGCCACGTCTAAACCTTCCCCACCAATCAGATTGGCACTTTTGATCACGTGCACGGAGCTGCTGCAGTTACAGTAAACAGCACTTGGAGGCGCTCAAACGCAAAACTGTCAATGCGAGCGCAAATTGAAGAAGATGCCCAGAGGCGATATGAACGTGGAGCTGCTTATTGCACTGTTGAACAATAATCATTTCTTCATCACTACAGCGGCTTCTTGAACCATTCATGCTTGTTCGAATCACAAGTAACTTTAACATCAAGCGTGTCAACTTTCTGTCTTCCTCTATGTTACAAGCGGGTGTCAGAAGCTTAAAGTTGTGTAGCGCCATCTAACGTCAAGGAGTGATTCTGCGTACTCTTTTGCTCGACACCAGTGAAAATAGTTTGGGTTTGAATCTGGAAAAACGACTTGAGAAACGCTGTCGATAAACGCAAACGAAAAGTGTAGGTGTGTCCAAGCCTTAAGAATGGTTGGCTGCATTCCATTCAAGTACTTTATTCCCTACATCTGCTAACTTTCCTCTTTCTCGTTCCTTCGGATGTATGTCATTATGTTACACAAGTGTCATCTACTCAAGGACCATCTGAATGAGTTTAAATCATGGGTCTCAAACTCAACTCCTCGAGGGCCGCAGCTCTGCACAGTTTTGCTCCAACCCTAATCAAACACAGCTGATCCATCTAATCAAGTTGTTCAAAAGAGTCTCGGACACCTTGATTAGTTGCCTCAGTTGTATTTGATTAGGATTGGAGCAAAACTGTGCAGAGCTGCGATCCTCCAGCAATAAGTTTGAGACCCATGGTTTAAATCAGGGGTGACCAAACTCTATCCTGGAGGGCCGGTGTCCTGGCGAGTTTAGCTCCAACCATAATCAAACACACCTGAAGCGGCTAATCAAGCTCTTACTAGATATACTAGAATCTTCCTGGCAGGGGTGTTGAAGCAAGTTGGAGCTAAACTATGCAGGACACTGGCCCTCCAGGACCGAGTTTGGACACCCCTGGTTTAAATGGAATGGCCTAAACTCTTGAGCACTTGATGCCACAATTGTACTGCATTCTGGGATATATAGGTGCTGGAGTGGACATAAAATGTCGACTCGTTCTCTCAGTCAAAATTGAGGGATCGAGGATATGTTGAGGATATGTATTCAAAATGGCGTTGGGAAAGACAAGAAGGAAAGTTTGCAAGTGCATGTCTAAAAGTGAACTGGAACACAGCCGAACTCTGGAAAGTTACTTTTGTTTGGTGTTTACCAGTTCCCTCCTCTTTCTTTCCTGAATTAATGTGAGAGTTACTACAGCAGTCTTGCACACATTTCCAGTGAAAACCCAAAACACGGGCTAAGAAACATGACACAGTGTAAGATAGAAACCCCACTGACTACTAGTGTTTCAGAAGTGTTACTGCAGAGCAGCAACGACAGAATGCAGAAGTATAAATGCTCACAATGGCATCAGCTATGAACAAAATATGTACCGTAAGTATACAGAAGTACAGATCACATAAGTAGAATCAGGTTTTAGCCAAAAACATGTACCATAGCTAACAGAAAGATCATACTTCCATAGTAGCAATAAAATATTAGTGCTCACTCATCTTAAAGGTGCAGTAGGTGATTGTCTTCAGAAACATTTGTTGTTGTGCTGGTTGAAAGTCTCTTCACAGTCCAATAGTAATGATGACAGTAAATGATCTAAATGTGTTTATATGTATTTTTATAATCTGGGTAAAGCATAAAACTAAAAAATATTTATCCAATTAAATAGAGTCGGACCGTCATCTCCCTTAATTCCGGCTCAAACTCGCTCATTTTGAGGCAGGAACCGGCGGACGTGCAACAACTTTAACTATGAGGTAAACTTTCCATCCGGAGCTCCTTCACGGGACTCCACACTTGTAAACAATCGCTCACGCCATTCGCGCGGCTCTCGGTCCCGCCCAGACTCCTCAGCGCTACCAAGCCGACCAATCACAGAGCTTGCGCTACGCGTCGTTGCGACGTGTAGTTACATTTTTTGAGAGGTGCACGTCAGTGACGGGCACGGCCACGGCGAAGGGCTTTGCGTCAGCGCCGTAGCATACGCCGGCGTTTGACGCAGAAGTATAAATCAGCCTTAAGCCCGTGCCTGTCTGCTTCACAAACGCATGCGCTCCGATCGCAGATGCCGAGTCGGAGCCGGAGGCGTCGAAGGACAACCGAGCTCGGGCCGATTACTGTAAAGCCAGGCGCGGGTATAATTTACCCTTAAAGCGGCCGCGCGGTCACAAGACGGACCGGGAGAAATCGAAAGCTGAATTGAAACTTTTAAAAACCTGAATCAATATTGGAGTTACTTTAGCACGCTGGAGGAAGGACGACACCATGGCTGAAGTATACTGTTAGACAGGTTTTGAAACTATTTTATGTTAGATAGTGTTGTGTTATGAATGACTTATATGCACAGACGTGTTGTTCAGCCACTGAAATCTCCCGGTGAAAGATTGATGTGATTATTCTCAGTTTCATAAGGTTGTTTGACAGCATCTATAATGTAGATTTATATTTAGTTTAACAACAAAACACCAGTAAATAGCGCTATTCCGCCTAGCCTGCTTTATGGAGCTGAAGTTGCTTTTATATTAACATTGGGTCATTTTTGAACAATGATAACCTTCCTATACTGTTTACCATGCTACTCTAAATATTCGCTCTGAAATAGCATGTAAGTGTGGCTAAGTATTTCATGTAATTCCTGCACGGCGCTGGCACTAACTAACTGGCGAATGACAAGAACTAGTGGGTTGTCTGTCGGCTGTTGTGACGCGGTGCGCGCGCTCGCGATTTCAGGGGGTGGGGCTTTGAATCACAGTCCCTCCCCGCCGTCCAAAGATAATATGCTAAGCGGTTAGCATTTTGGCAGATCACCTACTGCACTTTTAAATTGTGCTTTCAAATAATCCAACCAAAATGGACAGCAAACTCGTAACTCAAATTCTGAGAAATTAAACTTGTTTAAATCATATTGGCTTGCTAATAATTTTTCTAAGCAATTTTTTTAGGTGTTTGCTCCATTGGCTAAAAAAATCTGCCACAGAAAAGTCGTCACATGTTAAGAGATCCTATAATTTTATCGTCATTCACAACAGCAATACAGAATCAGAAAACAAGTCTATTACTTTATAAATGTATATGTAAAACTATTATTAAAACAGTAAACAAAAAAATATCCACTGGACCCCAACCCTTGGGCCACGAACAGGTACAGTTCTGTGGATCAATTGGTACCAGGCCACACAAGAAATCATTATTTATTTCTGTTTTATTTATTATCCGTGTCTGAATGATCTTTTATTTTGAAAGGTCTTTTATTATGAAAAATGACCGTATTCTCTTGGTTACATTTCGGTCACTTAAGCACCAAAATTTAACCCACAAGCAGCAAAATGAATAAGAAACAAGAAGTCTTTGGAAAGTTTCATTGCGAAGAGGAAAAGTCCCAGTGAAGGACCCACAAACTGCAAAGGAGCGGATCCGCATCAAATCAGGTAAATCCAGCATGTCTCTGGCAAGATCAACTGCCGGAGATTACAAATGATGGCGGCCATTCACATATTGCATCTTTCCGTGTGCAAGTCTGTTATTTCTTGGCTTGCGCGTCAGTGGTGGATTTAGGCATACGCAATATAGGCGATTGACCAAGATGGCATCTTGTTAGGGGCGGCATGGAGACAGACCCACCCTCCAACCCCCCTCCCTGCTTTTTATTTTCGGCCGTGAATGCACCAATCCCCCACCACCACCAAACATCCCTCCACCCCAAACTTAGGTCCGTGACAGCCATACTCCACCCCCTGTCCTGCTGTTTACTTTCGTCTGGCGACAACCCACCTAATCCCTCCACAACAACAACCCCGGCTCACTTTTGTCCGTGACCCGACTACCAACCCCCCACTACTAGTTTTCACTTGCATGAGGGTCTTATGAGCACCGTGAGGGCAGCACGGTCATCGTTTGCCTAGAGCAGGCATGTCCAAACTCGGTCCTGAAGGGCCGGTGTCCCCAATCAGACACATCTAGGCTAGCTAATCAAGCTCTTACTAGGCTTTCTAGAAACATCCTTGCAGGTGTGTTGAGGCAAGTTGGAGCTAAAATATGCAGGACACCGGCCCTCCAGGGCCGAGTTTGGACACCCCTGGATTAGAGCACCAGTTAGGCTAACACTGCTCCTGTTATGCGCATATTAGGATTGACGCACCCTTCCAGGCACATCCAGTTGAAAACATCTTTAAATTTTTACAAGCGCACTGCGAGTCACATGACAAGAACTGACCAATCAGCTTCATACTTTGATGGAATATGCATATTTCAGTAGACTATATCAGATAAACACTGCAGGGATTTCTTTTCTCTATAAATAAAACTCGTATCAGAGTTGCAGCAATGTCTTGTCAGCTCGTCAACTTCTGAGAAAACGGTTGATGGTCACCTGGTCTGTGGTCAAATTGACAATCGTTGACGGCTGAGTGGTGATAAAAAGGTTGGGGACCACTGTTGTAGGCTACAACCTTCTAGTCAAAATACAAATATTAGACTAAACCGTACACGACTCTGGCGTTCAAATGATTTCTTAATAGTTTCAATCTGTCATGTTTTGAAATCGACTGAAACTATTTCCACCGTGTTCACAGGTGTGAGGCTTTCCGCCCAGTGTGAACTCTCGTGTGTCCTGAAGACTGATTTATAAGCGAAACATTTACCACAGTGTTGGCATATGAACGGTTTCTCACCGGTGTGAACTCTAGTGTGGACTCTGAGGTTTGGTCTTTGAGTGAAACTCTTCCCACAGTGAACGCAAGAGAAAGGTTTCTCTCCCGTGTGAATCCTGATGTGGTCTTTAAGCACTGCTTTTCGACAGAAACTCTTTCCGCACTGAGGGCAGGCATAAGACTTCTGTCCGGTGTGAACGCTCATGTGGACTTTGAGGTTTTGCTTCTGATTGAAACGCTTCCCACAGTGAGCACACGAGAAAGGCTTCTCTCCTGTGTGAACTCTGGTGTGTATTTGAAGTGCTTGTTTCGAACTAAACTTCTTTTCACATTGAGGGCAGGGTGTGTTATTGCATGATAAGTACTTCTTTGGTGGTTTTTTATCAATCGTTAAATGTTGCCGTTTCTCGAACTGATCCCTCTCTTCAAGGTCTTGAGTCTCTACTTTCAGCACCATCAGCTCTAAAGAGAAATATAAATAAATAAAAAGTTAACCCCAGTTTAGATGCACGGCCATGAAAGTATTTAGACATCGAAATCAGCATTATTTCTTTTGTTTTTTAAATCTTTGTTTATGATTGTATTATCGTTAGTTATGCAGATAAAACCGTTTTTTTATTTTCCTTTAGTTTTTAGTTATTGAAAAAAAATAATATTGTCATAACGTTGATCTCGTAATACGTTCGTAATATGATTTGTTTATGGAAAATCTATTTACATTTTTTTTTCTATTTCTGTTTTGCTATAAAACATCTTGGAAGTTTCAAAACTCAAAAAAAAAAAAAAAGTGTGAAACCAATGCGGCGTCCATCCTTAATAGTCGAAAGTAAAACTAGTAGTCCCAATGGTTTGGTTGAAAAGAGAATGCCAAAGGTTCCCGGATGATTTACTATTTCCGGTAAAAAATTGAAGTGTGGAAGTGTCCATAACCGCTAATTTTGCCCAATACATTGGAGGTTGGATGTACATTTGATTAGAACTACAAACCTGGGTAAAAACTGTAAATAAACTGCAAACATGGTGGACGCACGAGACCAACTGTCAACCTTAGTAAAGTTTTTTGAATGACCGTTAATTAATATCTAGCAAATTGGGAGAAAAGTAAATCACGGTTTTCATTGCCAACATTCGTTCATTTTCCTTTAGCTTAGTCCCTTATTTATCAGGGGTCGTCACAGCAGAATGAACCGCCAACTATTCCAATATATGTTTCACACTTTTAGCCACAACCCAGTACTGAGTCACATTCACGCATACATGTACGCAACTCACCTATAGCGCATGTTTTTGGACTTGTGGGGGAAAACATCCGGAAGAAACCCACGCCAACACGGGGAGAACATGCAAACTCCACACAGAAATGCCAACTGGGACTTGAAACCCCGGCCCGGACTTGAATCAGCGACCTTCTTGCAGTGCTAACCACTGATCTACCATGCCACCCTTGCCAACATTCAAAAGGCAACTAAAAATGTCTCTTCCGTTGAGCACATTGGTACATCCTTAAAAAAATAATGTATTCCTTAATTCCTCCTTATTCTAGTTGACATTTTATTAAGCCTTTACGATCAATTACTTCATGCCTTATGTAACGGAGGCCAGCTAGTGTGTGCTGTGCAGGTGAACCTCACTCCTCTGACCTCTAAAGGTGCTCTAGCGACAGATGCTAGAGGCTATGGTCTTTAGCCTCCTTGGTAGAGCAACCGACTCCCATGCGGAAGATCGCCGGTTCGATACCAGCTCGGAGAGGGTTGGGTGGCACAGGACTGGTTGGGTTATAATGGTGCCGTGACCCAGATGGGAGTGAGGTTTAGGGGGGTGAGTGTAACGGAGGCCAGCTAGTGAGTGCTGTGCAGGTAAACCTCACCCCTCTGACCTCTAAAGATGCTCTAGCGACAGACGCTAGAGGCCATGGTCTTTAGCCTCCTTGGTAGAGCAACCGACTCCCATGCGGAAGATCGCCTGTTCGATACCAGCTCGGAGCAGGTTGGGTGTTGCAGGATTGGTTAAGTTACACTTACTTCTTTGTAAGTCACTTTGAGTGAATGCATCCACTGAAAAACTAAACGTAAATAAAGCACAAGGGCTTGAAATATGTCAAAAACATGGTCGCACTGCATGAATTTAGACACTATCACTGCTTATATTGGATTTGATCACATTTCAAATCTTTATAGTGCGTTTTTGTGTTGTTTTAAACTTTTTTTTATGACCTATTTCATCAAATTTTGCATAATTAAAAGCAGACATTTAATCAAATGTTGATCTTTGATAAACTAACCTGTTTGTTGAGGATCTTCCTGTTTGACTATGAATGTGTCTTCAATCTTCAGGTCTTCACTCTCCTCTTTAATAAACGCCATCTTTATAACAGTGTGGAGATCAGTCGCTTCAGCAGGAGTTTTCCTCTGTGTTTGGACACTTTGTCCTGTTTAAAATGAGAACAACGAACAGAAATAAAAGAATCAGCTCATTCTTAAGGAGAGACAATGAGCTATTATCGTTTTTTTCCATGAGCCACACGTTATTCTGTGTGTGCGGTAGGTTAATTATGACCCAGATGACAAATAATACAATAAAATAACAAACAAATAGACTAATTAATGATAAGCTGCTTTAAAACTTTAAATGTTTAACAACCTTACAGTTTTATATGTCTTAATAAAAAAAAAAAAAAACTTACTTAGGTGAGGATCGAACACGGATCCGATAGCTTCAAAGGTCCACTAGACCACAATGGCGCTGTTAGCTGAGAGTGGCCGGAATGATATTTATATCAGCACTACCCTGCAGGCTACAGTTTGCTCATAGGACTGCAAGACAATAAATAAGAAGAGCGGAGCTGCGGCAAAATAATGGATAAAAAGAGTGAGGCTATGGTCAAATAAATAAATAAAGGAAAAAAAGTGCGACTGCGACTTTCTCCGTTCGCCATGCTGGAGAGAAACAGTCTGCGCAAATGGAACGCAGAGTGGTTGTCATCGACTACAGCTCTCATCTGATTGGCTGAAAGGTACGAGTTGCCCTGCCTCTGGCAGAAGAGTCTCAAAAATACACACACACGTATCCAGGGGGAGTCGTACGTGCAAGAGGATTTGCACATTCTCATTCAGGATGAACTCGCAAGTTTTAAACATTCAAAACTTTTTGCACACTCTTATCCATTTGCAAATGGTGTTTTGCATTTGTGAAACGTATTTTATGAAAATGTATTTTTATTTTGTGAATATAAATATTTTACGCACGTGAATTTGATTTGATGCACGTGAATTTGGCTACGCATGTGTACATCGTGTCTTTTGCGTGAATTATTATTGAGTCTAATCTGTCTCCATAATTAGCAGCTTGGCAAAAACAATTAGTAACAAAGTCTGTAACTTCAGTCATAATTTTAATGATAATATTCCTGATGTAAAGTGTAATGGGGCAAACGGCACGAGACTGTAAGAAAGTGAAGCCACGAAAACTTGAAGGCATCTCTCGCAGTGGAACATCTTATAAGTTGTCGCTTTATGCAGACGGCCTTCGTTTATATTTACACAACAGCTCTGTCTGGTTCTAGAATCTGATTGGCTGATAGCCGTGAGGTATTTAAGTAATATCAGCACCCGTACAGCCTCTTTACCCTTTGTGTATTACTCCGCCCGCATACAGCCAGCAACAAGCCGAGAGACGCTACAGTTTGACAAATATTACTGCTGTTACACAACAAAATGTACTTTTGAGGCTGTTTTAGTAGAGAATGTAGTTGGTTAGATTGCAACTACGCAGTTTACTTATAAGAATAGTGCCTATTTTAAAACCTTTACAATTTCTGAGAGCTGGTCGGCGGCCAGACGGTAGACGTTTTCTAGCCACAAGATGGCGACAGAACCGCATAATAAGCCCTTACGAAAAAATGAGGTTTTCATTAAGAGGGTCTTTAAAATCTTTTTACAAAACATGGAAACCTTTGTTGAATTATAATTACACTATTGATCCTGAAGCAGAAGAGGAATAAAGACTTGTGTTATTAATATTATTAGTTGTTTATTACATTTATAGTTGTTTTTGTTTATATATTCATTTGATTATTTTTTTTACATTTACTGTGTTATTTATTATAACTATATTGTTTTTCTATTGGTCATTGGTTCATAGTTGTGAAAAAGCAGAACAGTGTATTACTTATTGTTGTATGTATATGATCTTGTTCTCACAAAATGTTAATAAATATATTTAGCAAAAAATAAATAAAAATTGAAGCTGTTTAAGCAAATTATTGTGATTTCTTAGTGAGGATATATAAATATCTTAGAGAAACCGTCAGGGGCGTAGCGGACTTTTTAAAAGTGAATGAGCTGAATGAGAGCCAAAACTTTGTTTATTTTAATATTAATCACCTGTTTTTAAATGGCCTGTCTCTAAAAGTGTTCTGTGCTTTCGCTTTATTTAGGCACGAAAACACTTTGAAATAAATATAAAAACGGCACGATTCCCTTTCCTTTTTATTACAGGTGCCGTCTCCTACATATGCAGTCCTTAAAACAGTCATATAGCGGTGCGTGACTGTCAGCTGACACACTCTATGGCAGGGGTGGCCAACCCTGTTCCCTGACAGCCACCTTCCTGCAGATTTCAGTTGCTACCCACATCAAACCCACCTGAACCAATTAATTAGGACCTGAACACCACGTGATAATTACAGGCAGGTGTGTTGGATATGGGTTGCAACTGAAATCTGCAGGAAGGTGGCTCTCCAGGAACAGGGTTGGCCACCCCTGCTCTATAGTGATGAATAGACGCTGTTTCCCAAACGGATTATGTACACGCGATTTGAAGTTTGAAGAGTGAAAGTCTGGGTTTTGGGTGCGGGTTTAAATAGACAAATACACATGATTAATGATAAAAAGGATATCTAAAGATGTCGATTTTGGTGTTGTTGTTTTTTTCAAACACAACTAATTTTGTCTTAAATGAGCATAGAAAGTTGAGAAAGCAGTCGAATGCCTTCATTATATTGTTAGACGTGTGCATTTTTAAAGCGACACCTGTTAGTCAATGTAATCAAACAAAAAAATCTAAATAAATAAGAGATTCATCCGTTGCTCTTGAATCATATTGTGTAAGTTGTACAGTGAAGAAATGACTAATGAGATTTGATAACTTGATTCTATTTCATTATAACAAATATGAATTTAATAAGCTGAATTGTTTGCTAATGTATTTGCTGCTGATGTATATCTTTATTTTTTTCCTTGGTAAATAATAGTAAGAAAACATATTACCATTTAACTGCTTATTTACAACAAAACAGCTCCAAATGAACATACTAGTAGGGGTGGGGGGTTGGGGGTCCCTTATTATGGTGGGCATATCCCTTATTTTCACATCCCAATGTTGACAGGTACGTTCACCAAGCATTTTAGTGCTAACACTAGCCACTTTATCAGCGAAATGTAAGGATCAGTGAAGAGGACTCAAAAATCACTGAGAACAAAACAAACAAATCCTAAAATGGCTGCTTTTTGACAATATTAAGGTAGAATTGGCTTTATGTTTACACATTCGTTCATTTTTAAAACATTTTTGTACTTATATTGTTTGACGTCACCATGTTACTTTGAATATTCGGTTTGAAACTGTAAGTATGACTTCCAAACGACATTAGCACTATTTAATAGACTGTGAACAAGGTTGTGCTTTGATAGTCGTTGGCTGCTAATGTTTCACTATTTACATCATTGTTTGAAAATAATACTTTTCTGAGATGATATTATTCAGGAGAAAGTCCGAACGTGTGAATGTAAAACCAACTTTACCTCAATGTTAACAGTTGACAACAATGAGCTCGTCAACTTAACCGCAGAGGTATCCACAAAAGATAAAAATATGCTTTCAAATATCTATTTTAATGTATTCAATGTAATTCAAAATATACAATTTTGTAGCAAATGTTTATTTTATGACTCCCATTGCATTTATTTTAGCGACCACGGTAGTAAATATCATCCTTTGTTAAACGTATTTGAGATTTGAACAACCTGAGGTGCAAAAATTGTGATTTTGAAGTGAAATGCTGCTTTAATTTAGATTATCGAGGGTTCTGTTTTCCTTTATCAATACAGAAGAATCTATGAAAAAGGCATATTAGCGTATAATATTTGTGTTTCATATCAGTGTTGTCTCTGTTTAGTCTAAATCTCTCACTTTATGAATGTTCCCTTAAAAAAATTACCTGCAATATTTTATGTGGTAAACCATCAAATGTACAACACAAAAATTATGTGATAACTGTGTAGTACTTTGTTGTTTTTTGGGACGCTTTACCACAGGATTCTGTGCTGTACAGTATGTAATACTCCTGTAGTATTCTTTTGGTAGTGTGTGGTATCACTTTCATATTTTGGTAGCATTTACCACAGGATTCTGTGTTATACAATATGTAATATTCCTGTGATACTCTTGTGGTAGAATGAGTGGTATTACTGTCATATTCCTGTAATGTTTCTGTGGTATAGTGTGGTATTTTATGTGGTAAACCATCAAATGTATAAAACAAAAATTATGTTGGAATTGTGTAGTACTTTGTTGTTTTTTGGGACGTTTTACCACAGGATCACTTTAACATTTCTGTGGTATTTACCACAGGATTCTGTTGTTTAGTATGTAATACTCCTGTAGTATTGTTGTGGTAATAATTTAACATTCCTGGTGTATTCTTGTGGTATTACTTTAACATTTCTGTGGTATTTACCACAGGATTCTGTTGTTTAGTATGTAATACTCCTGTAGTATTCTTGTGGTAATATGTGGTAATAATTTAAAATTCCTGGTGTATTCTTGTGGTATTACTTTAACATTTCTGTGATATTTACCACAGGATTCTGTTGTTTAGTATGTAATACTCCTGTAGTATTCTTGTGGTAATATGTGGTAATAATTTAACATTCCTGGTGTATTCTTGTGGTATTACTTTAACATTTCTGTGATATTTACCACAGGATTCTGTTGTTTAGTATGTAATACTCCTGTAGTATTCTTGTGGTAATAATTTAACATTCCTGGTGTATTCTTGTGGTATTGCTTTAACATTTCTGTGGTATTTACCACAGGATTCTGTTGTTTAGTATGTAATACTCCCGTAGTATTCTTGTGGTAATAATTTAACATTCCTGGTGTATTCTTGTGGTATTACTTTAACATTTCTGTGATATTTACCACAGGATTCTGTTGTTTAGTATGTAATACTCCTGTAGTATTCTTGTGGTAATAAATTAACATTCCTGGTGTATTCTTGTGGTATTGCTTTAACATTTCTGTGGTATTTACCACAGGATTCTGTTATTTAGTATGTAATACTCCTGTAGTATTCTTGTGGTAGTGTGTGGTATCACTTTAACATTTCTGTGGTATTTACCACAGGATTCTGTTGTTGTTAACAAATTTGTATGATGGTGAACATTAATAATAACGAAAACATCTGGCGAGTGACTGAATCGTCTGAATTCATCCGTTAGTAGATTGACGATAACAGGGAGTGAACGGACGAGCATCTTTCTGTAACTCAAGTGGGCTGTATACTCGCGCAAATACGCTTGTTTTTAAATGAATTCTTGATAAATCTTATACATGTTGCGTTTTGTGACAAATAATTAATTTAGCACCGCCTTTAAACGCTTATAACTACGACTTATGTCGAGTCATAAACCGTAAAAACTTTAAAGCACCAACCTTTCTCGGATCATAGGAGCGCAGCAGTATGACGTTCTCACAAACCAAAATAAAAGTCTTACGTTATAAAAATAGAATAAATGAGCAATGAATTAATTTTAAGGGATAATATGGATATACAGTCATCTATAAATCTGTACTGTTTTATTAACCTGCAAATGATTTGATATGTTTTTATATATATATATATATATATATATATCTATATATATATATATCTATATATATATATATATATATATATATATATATATATATATATATATATATATATATATATATATATATATATATATATATATATATATATAGAGATAGATAGATAGATAGATAGATAGATAGATAGATAGATAGATAGATAGATAGATAGATAGATAGATAGATAGATAGCCACAAATGACAACATCAATGGTAAATTAGATTTGAACAAGTTTATCTTTATTAAAACCATCAAACTATGTTTATTAACGCCACAGTTTGGAATTTGTGCTTAAAATCAAATAAAAGATTCATTCATTTTCCTTTGGCTTAGTACCTTATTTCAAATAAAAGATAATGAATTTAATGATTAAGCTTATATGGCTAATTAAAGTAGTATCCTCTTGTTAACTGATTAACAAACGTCATTTTACTCCCTATTAAAGTCGTAGGCTAACACTGAAAAGTTTAAATAAACATTATTGATTTTCATAATGTGTTCTTTTTTTATTATAATGCAGTTTTATATTACACTAAAAATAAATATTGTTCATTAATTAAAGCCTTAACTTCTAGGATTAAAAAAAAACAGTCATTACTCTTCATCTAGAAATAATAATTTCCTGTTGATTTTTATTAAAGCGTCACACTTTACAATAAGGTTTCATTAGGTAATGTATTAACTCGCATGAACTAATTATGAATAATACTTGTACAGCATTTATTAATCATAGCTTAACATTTCCTAATGCATTAATTACTAACATCAGGATTCGTGTTTGCTGACATTAGCTAATGCAATATGAGTTAACGAACTGATCATGAACAATGCTATAATAAATGTATAGTTCATTGTCTGTTCATGTTAGTAAATGCATTAACATTAACTAATTCAACTTTATAGGGAATATGCCGTAGGCTAATAGGGCTTTTAATATCCCAGTAACCTGGGTTAGGTGCTTCCAGTGAAATGTATGCCATTGCAAAATCGGCGCGTTTAAGGTCTGTTTTCTTTGAAAAACTGCGATCTCCACTGGCTGAGGGATATCCGATATAAAGTGGGTCTCAGATTGAACAAGAAGCACTGCATTAAATTACATGTTTTCCCTGCCATGTCTTTAAAATGTGAGCATTTATTCTACCCCAGTATATTCAATGGAGCTTCTGCGCTAGCCTGCCGATTCTGACGGCCGCGTGCGAGTAACTGCTTTTTGTCTCGTTTTACGCATGAGCAACTAAATGAATGGCAAAGTTTATTTAACTGAGTGTATTTTAATTATATTACAACATCGATGCTGTAAAAGGAACCGTATAAATTGGAATAAAACTCACAATAACAGGTCACCGGAACTTTATCAGTATGGGAACACTAGTTTTAAGTTTTACCTATTAATGATATAGTAACCATCTTAACACCTAATTGATCCATTGTCTAATTACATCAAAAGTTGTCACGACCGGGTCTTGAACCCGGGTCTCTGGTGTGGAAACCGATGTGTATAATCCAGACAAGGATTTATTAAAAAAAAAAAAAAATCAACTTAGGTTCTTCTCAAAAATGAGGTAGCAAAACAGACAACTTAGGTTCTTCTCAGAATGAGGTATACAAAATACTCTAACAGTATAATAAACATGTAAAGAAAACTCCACGAGGGGAGAAAACAAACAGATAATTAATGCAGTCAGCAACAAGGAAAATAAAACACTCTTACTAGACGTAGCTCAGGAGATCAAGGGAAACGCAAGGCAAGTTCACCAGAGATGACTCAAACACCGAGTGAGGAACACAGACAAAGTGACAACTTAAATACACTGGCTGGAACAAGTCACAGGTGATCTAAATTAAGTAAACAAGAACACATGAGGAAGAACAAATACAGAGGGGAAACACGGGGACCTCTAGGGGAATGGAGACAAACTGCAGGATGGTGACAAAAGTAGATTATATTCATTGTATGTAATAGTACACACTAGCTAGTATCACTATTCGTTTTATTTGTGTGGCTTCTTTGCTGTACGTTCAAATCTTTTGGATTAAAAAGGAAAACATATGAAATAAAGACTTTTTTTTGCAAGTGGAAATGGGTTAAACTGAAACGAAAGCCACTCATGAGACCTACGGACATGATCATCAAGTCCCCTTTATTTCTTTTGAGCTCTAAACAATACAGATTGCGTTTAAGTAGATTTGTAGAGATAAACAGGAAGAACGTGTGAAGTGTCATTGCTGAAAAAGAAATATCATACAGGACAATACAGGCATCAAAAAACAAACCAAACAAGGATCAGGTGGACCTAATCAAATTCTTTACTATTGTAAGGGCCGTTGTTATGGATCAACTGGGGTTAATGTTACTGGATGTACAGTGAGGCAAAAAAAGTATTTAGTCAGCCGCCGACTTTTTGAATGAGAGGTAGGACAAATGGACAGAACAGCGGCGCAGCGTGTTACTGATGGCAGCCTTTGTTACTTTGTGTTGTTCTAGTATTTTTGCACACACTTCTTGGGATCATTTTGACCCCACGAGATAAGATCTTGAAGATTATCAGTTGTCTTGTCTGTCTTCCGTTTTCTAATAATTTCCCCCACATCTGATTTCTTCACACCAAGCTGCTCACCTATTGCGTTTGAGGCTGTGAACAGGTGTCTTTTATATGGATAGCGAGTTTTTAACAGATGCCATTAATACAGGTAAGGAGTGGAGGACAGAGGAGCCTTTTAAAGAAGTTACAGGTCTGTAAGAGCCAGAAATCTTGTTCTCATTTTGTCTCTCATAGTTGAGGTATACCTATGATGAAAATTACAGACCCAGGGGCGGACTGGCCATCTGGCAATTCTGGCAAATGCCAGAAGGGCTGGACCATTTTTTTAAATGTGGGCCGGTAAGCTATTTTTTTAATTATTTTTTTATATGTATTGTTTTTACATGCAGGCAGATTTTATCTCTTGCAAGATTTGAATATTATGATGATGATGATAATAGTAATAATAATATAAATGTTAAGCATTGACAATCAGCAATGGCCAGCTGGTTACGAGATGGTCCGACCCAATCAGAGGTTACATGGGCGTAATCAAAATCTGGCAAGACTGTCAAACAACAAGTGCAACACAAGCTAATTGTCAGAGATGGACCGTAAAAAAGCAAAGGCGGTGCCGAAAAGCTCAGAGAAAGCAAAAAATTGCTCTAAAATCAGATGCTGCCAAATGCATAAAATTAACTGAAATAGTTAAGAAAAAGGGGCAGCACAGTGGGTAGCACTGTCGTCTCACTGCAAGAAGGTCGATGGTTCGAGCCTCGGCAGGGTCAGTTGGTGTTTCTGTGTGGAGTTTGCATATTCTCCCCGTGTTGGTGTGGGTTTCCTCCTGGTGCTCCGGTTTCCCTCACAAGTCTAAACATGCGCTATCGGTGAATTGGGTAGGCCTAATTGTCTGTTGTACATGTATGTGAATGTGTGTGTATAGGGGTTTCCCAGTGATGGGTTGCTGCTTGGAGGGCATCCGCTCTGTAAAACATTTGGCGGATAAGTTGGCGGTTCATTCCGCTGTGGCAATCCCGTGTTAATAAAGGGACTATGCAGAAAGGGAAATATATGAATGAAATGATTGCTTGTATAAATTTGTTATAAACGGGTTGTTTTTGTTTCCGTCACAAACATTAAATGTTTAAATATCTATTACAGATGGTACTGCTTATATTATTTCACCATCTGTACACCAATATAAGTAGTGAATGTGTGTGTCCGTGGATGGGGCTGTGTCAGAGTGGCAATGTGGGCTTATATGGCTACACTGCCAGGGCTGATTTTTAGTCCCAGTCCACCCCTGTACAGACCCCTCTCATCTTTTTAAGTGGGAGAACTTGCACAATTAGTGCCTGACTAAATACTTTTTTGCCTCACTGTATGTACATAAATGACTATTAGTTTAACCTAATTTTCCAGCAGATGTTGAACGGCGGCAGATTTGTCCCTTGGGTATTTTTAAACCCATGGCTTTTTCTACAGTTTCTCTGTGTGTTTGCACAAAAATGAACATATAAGATAACTAAACCTTTCTACAAACTATGGCCAGGGTGAAGATTTTCTGAAACTACAATGTACAGTGTTGTCATGTGGACAACACAACCTGAATTTTTACCTCATGAAGTCAGTGTGCGTGCTATTTTATCCTCTTTGATTGGCCAACACAGCTGAGCTCACATGTGAACCCAAATGAGGCAAATTCGTTAGCGGCAAACATGTTACGTATTCCATGCCGTTCGTAGTGCAGGATGGTAATCCACCCCTCATGTTTTACCGCTGCCTGTTGGTTCAGCATACCCTTAACATACATCACAGTGGGTTTTAGCTTTTTGCGTACTTGTCGACACTTCCGTTTTTCCTGGTAGTCTCTCGTATTTCACACTAGAGATCTGAGCGGGACTAAATTTTGAATCCCGCTCCCACCAGGTTTTAGCCCGAACCCGACCGCTCCCGCTTATATTCAACATTTGTTGTCCCGCTGCCCGACTCGGCCGCAGAAATCTCGCGGGAATGCAGACCTCGAATTCACACCCATCTACCGTCACCCTCCAGTTTATTTATTTCTCCCAGGAAACTCAACCGTCGTACAAGGGATTACATCATATACAAGATTAGCAAGATACTCCACAATCCATATGTGCATTTTTCTCTACTGAAAATAACTTCCCCACTTGGTAAACCCTTGTCTTCATCAGTTATTATATCAGTGTTAGCGAGATAAACTCATTAGGACTCTAAATTATTCAAATTCCCAAATTTGGTGGTGCTTCTTCTCATAATTTGACTCAGTGGATGTGGAGTTTTCCATGAGGACCTTAGTGCCACATATGTAACCCTTAATACTGGAGGGAGGACACACAGATTTTACGCTTCTATTATTACAACCCTGAACCTCCAATTAAATGCTGAACCAAGACTTTGAACTTCATCAAATACCTAAAGAATGACGTCCTACAAGGTGCTGAAATACTTGTTTGAAAGAGAGGGACCGTCGTTCAAAGTTAAATCAGTCGGCAAAGTGTTTAGTTCCCCATGCTTCCATAGACTTCCATGGATTGCTTATTTACTTTAAGTGGGATGGTACATATATTACTATGTCAAGAGCAAGATAAGCACGCACAGCTGGGTTAATAATTTCAGCATATGTTTTAGAGCAGGGGTGCCCAAACTTGGTCCTGGAGGGCCGATGTCCTGCAGAGCTTAGCTCCAACTTCCTTCAACACACCTGCCAAGACATTTCTAGCAAGCCTACTAAGAACTTATTTGGGTAGCCTAGGAGTGACTGATTGGGGTTGGATCTAAACTATGCAGGACACCGGCCCTCCAGGACCAAGTTTTGGCACCCTTGTTTTAGAGAGTTAAGAGTGAGTTTTGAGAGTATTTAGGGTGAACCCCACAGAAAGTCCCACACCGTAAACACTCCCGGGAGTCTCCTGTATTTCAGACCCATCTCCCCCACCCTCCCATTTTGCTATTTCTCCCGGAAAACTCCCGTAATTTCAGCCTGCCCCCAGTCCTTAGCTTTTTGGTACAGTCTGTAACACCTGCAGGTTGCCAACTTTGGTAAAGTATCCAATAGTATCGACCGGCCACAACCTGGTCCATAGTACAGTTACTAACATCACAGTACACTTGCTAACCTAGTTCTCAACTGTGTTATTCAGAAAAACACACACCGCCAAGGTTGAGGTTAAGGTTGGATGACCGTGAGACTGACCTTACGAACATGACTTCTCTCCAGTGTGAGTTCTCATGTGGCAATTAAGAACGTATTTACGTGAGAAGGTTTTACCGCACTGTGTGCAGCTGTAGGACGGCTCTCCAGAGTGAGTTCTCATGTGAGAATTAAGATGACTTTTCATAGTAAAACCCTCACCACATTGAGAGCAAGTGTGACGTTTGTCTTCGGCGTGAAGTTTCATGTGGCTTTTCAGGCTGCCCCTATAACCAAACCTCTTTCCGCACTGTTGGCAGGGGAAAAGCTTCTCTTTAGCATGAACTGTCATGTGCATTTTGAGTTTCTGTTTTTGGCAGTAAGTCTTGCTACACTGAGGGCAGGCGAAAGGCTTTTCTCCAGTGTGAGTTCTAAGATGCTCTTTAAGGACATGCAATTGCATGAATCTTTTCCCACACTCTTGGCAAGGGAAAGGCTTCTCTCCGGTGTGAACTCTGATGTGTACTTTGAGGTTTTCCTTTTGAGTGAAACTCTTCCCACACTGAGGACACGTGTAGGGCCTCTCTTTGGTGTGAACTCTCATGTGGACCTTGAGTTTTTCATTCTGACTGAAGCTCTTTCCACACTGATCGCATGAGTAAGGCTTCTCTTTGGTGTGAACTCTCATGTGGACTTTAAGTTTCGAATTTTGACCGAAACTCTTTCCACACTCATCACACGAGAAAGGCTTCTCTCCAGTGTGAGTGACCATGTGATGATTAAGATTGCTTTTACTTGCGAAGGCTTTATCGCACTCTGTGCAGATGTAAGGCTTCTCTTTAGCGTGTGGTTTGTCTTTAGTGTGAAGTTTCATGTGGATCCTCAGGCTGTCCTTTTGACCAAACCTCTTTCCACACTGTTGGCAGTCGAAAAGCTTCTCACCGGTGTGAACCGTCATGTGCTTTTCAAGTTTCTGCTTGTGATAGAAAGTCTTCCCACACACAGTACAGGCATGAGGCCTTTCTCCAGTGTGAATTGTAACATGCTCTTTAAGAGCATGCAGTTGACTGAATCTCTTTCCACAATGCTGACAGGGAAACGGCTTCTCCCCGGTGTGAACTCTAATATGTACATTAAGGCTTTCTTTTTGAGTGAAACTCTTCCCACACTGAGGACACGTGTAGGGCCTCTCTTTGGTGTGAACTCTCATGTGCACTTTGAGTTTTTCGTTCTGACTGAAACTCTTTCCACACTGATCGCATGAGTAAGGCCTCTCTCCGGTGTGAATTCTCATGTGAACGATGAGGTTTGGTTGATGATTAAAACCTTTTCCACATTGACTGCAAATGAAATCAGATTTGGTTTTCGGAGATCTCTTACATGATGATTGTTCATCAGTCGTTAAATCTTGGTGCGTCTCGATCTGATCTTTCTCCTTCATTTCATTCATCTCTTGAGTCTCTTCTTTCAGCACCATCAGCTCTAAACAGAGAAAAATACCAATTAACCCTCGTTCAAAGGCGCAAAGCAGACCTTATATTAAAGTCTTGATATATTAAACTCTTTGCTGACTTCAGGACACTTAAAAGTGGATAGTTATTAAACCCTTTACCACAGTGGTCACCAAACTTGTTCCTGGAGGGCCGGTGTCCTGCAGATTTTCACTCCAACCCTAATCAAACACACCTGAACAAGCTATTCAAGGTTTTACTAGGTATACTTAAACACTCAGGCAGGTGTGTTGAGGCAAGTTGGAGCTAAACCCTGCAGGGCATCGGACCTCCAGGAACGAGATTGGTGACCCCTGGTATAGCTTTTCAAAAGTAATCCACTAGATCTTTGGATAATGGGTAGGCCCACACAGAATCTGCGCACGCAGAATTCCGCAGATTTCTGGAGGTCTGCATTCCCGCCGCGGGACCCGACCAGATTTCTGCGGCGCGGGAATAAATTTCCAAATAAATCACGGGAGCGGTCGGTAACGGGTTTAATTTGGGAAGGGAGCGGGCTGTCTAGCAATATCGCGGATATTGCTATACGAATGAAAGAGAGAGAAAGCTTTGCCTGTGTGTCTGCTTGGTGCTTGTGTGTGTGTTTATACAGACAGCTTGTTTTAGGCTGTCTGGACTGTATATCTGGGTGATTTTCGGTTATGTTCTCCCCCGCTCTTTAGCGGGATCGGGCGCGGCGGGCAGAAAAAGGGGCGGGTCGGGCACCGGCACAACAAATTCTTAATATAAGCTGGAGCTGTCGGGTTCAGGCTAAAAACTGGCAGGTGCGGGCAGAAGCGGGAGGGTTGTCGTCCAGAGGTGTGTGTGTGTTTGTGTGTGTGTGCGCATTTTCTGTTTGTGTGCATTTCACTCTCTGACTGAAGGCAGTCGACCAATCGCAACAGACTGTCATCGGTTCAATCAGCGCAGATTAGCTTCGCGCTAAGGAGGGGTTTGGGAACAAATGAATCACTGGACGATTCATACAGGAGTCGCTGGGATAATTAGGTAAAAATAAATGCAGATTATAAGACCATGAAAGTGTTTTTTGACCTTGCATGCATATTAGACTGTTGTTGGAGACCCTTACAACCAAGATATGACCCTATTTCATGTATAATATGGGCTCTTTAAAATAACTTCTTGTCATAATAATGATTAGCCTTTTCGGTAGTAATGTTAGCCTATTCCCACACTGTAGAAGTGAACCTGATTCTTGAAATAATAATAATAATAATACTACATTAAAGAAGGTGCACTATGAACATATACTGATCAGAATTATGTAAATAGCTAAGGAGATTGGCTAATAATAATCGTCTTCAGACTACACAGTAAACTTGCCTCAGCAAGTTGAGATGTATAACTGTTGGGGAAATTATTCATAAGCTTTTGATTCAATATTTATGCTAAATCTAATTGTATCAGCAGACATTAAAGAGCCCATATTATACATGAAATAGGGTCATATCCTGGTTGTAAGGGTCTCCAACAACAGTCTAATATGCATGCAAGGTCAAAAAACACTTTCATGGTCTTATAATCTGCATTTATTTTTACCTAATTATCCCAGCGACTCCTGTATGAATCGTCCAGTGATTCATTTGTTCCCAAACCCCTCCTTAGCACGGAGCTAATCTGCGCTGATTGGACCGATGACAGTCTGTCGCGATTGGTCGACTGCCTTCAGTCAGAGAGGGAAATGGCCAATAGCTAATCAGCAATTTAAAAAGTAATCACAGTTCATACACGCTCGATAGTATAGACGTGAATTTTAGCTGCCACACTATGGCGAGTGGATAGTGCCACGGATAACCGAACGAAGGAGACAGTCGTGTACTCGCCATACCACACACACACAAAAACACACACACACCTCCGGATGACAACGCTCCCGCTTCCGCCCGCACCCGCCAGGTTTTAGCCTGAGAACGCGCTCCGTTTTCTGCCCGCCGCGCCCGGTCCCGCTAGAGCGGAGAACACAACCAAAAATCACCCAGTATACAGTCCAGACAGCCAAGCTGTCGTTCGTTCGTTCGTTCGTTCGCTCTCTCTCTCTCTCTCTCTCTCTCTCTCTCATACGCGCGCGTGCGCACTAACACACACACAAGCACCACGCAGACTCTCTCTTTCTAATTCGCATAGCAATATCCGTGATATTGCTAGACAGCCCGCTCCCGTCCCAAATTAAACCCGTTACCGACCGCTCCCGCGATTTATTCGGAAATTTATTCCCGCGGCTGTCCCCGCGCCAGATTTCTGCGGCGCGGGAATAAATTTCCGAATAAATCGCGGGAGCAGAACTCTAGCACGGAGCTCCATAAACAAACAGCACGCGTCGCGTTTTTAACGTGACTTTGCACGCGATAAGATAATATATCCAGTTAACCTGATACAGTACACGCGGTTACAAGTAACAAATCACAACTAAATACATTTGCAAGCAAGAGTAAACGAGGCAACAACTTTAACCGCACGTACTTACACTTGAGAAATGGAAGAAACCCATCCTGACGTCCATCAGTTACTCTTTACTGATCCTTCCTTTAACAAACTCAGATGAAGTATTCTTTGTAGCATGTAGCTTCCAGAAGTTTCCAACTGCTTGGTTATAATGCTGATGTTTCATCTTTGGGTAGAGACTCAATATATCCATCTGCTGTGTGACTTCAATCGACCGGCATGTTTGTGTGCGTGTGTTTGTGGGTGTGCGTGTGTTTGTGGGTGTGTGTCTGGGTTTCTGCGTCAGAGGGCGGGGCCTCAGGTTTGAAATCTCCCGGGTTTGCGCGTGCACGTGAATAACTTGGTTTCGTTCGTACGTCATGGCGAAACACCTAATGAGTCGGTATCAAGGCGACTCGTTTGAAGCACTATGAGTCGACTCTTTTATAGATGAATCAACCGTTTTAAACACTGTATTCTTACAGATTTAAGCCTTAGCTGGATACTTCGCTTCACTTAGAGCTGTGTTACACACTACATGGAGGGGAATTTTCAAAAACCCATAATATGGGCTCTTTAATTGAAATGAGTGAGTTGATCTTTAGAAAGAAAACCAACCTGTTTGTTCGGGATCTTCCTGTTTGACTGTGAATGTGTCTTCAATCTTCAGGTCTTCGCTCTCCTCTTTAATAAACGCCATCTTTATAACAGTGTGGAGATCAGTCGCTTCAGCAGGAGCTTTCCTCTGTGTTTGGACACTGTTAAAAATGAGAACAACGAACAGAAATAAAAGAAATCCACACTCAATCTGTCTCAATCAGCTCTCTAGTTCACTAATAAGTGCACTGCTGAGGGAGATATAATGGTCATGAAACCCCAAACACTTTAAGAAATTAAAGTTCTGTTATCGTTTACGCACCTTTTTTTAAACGTTTTTATAATTTCTTTCTTTTGTTGAACACAAAAGAAGAGAGTTTGAAGAATGTTGACTTCCGTGGTGTTTGTTTGTCCTACTATGGACGTCAATGATTACAGGTTTCCAGCATTCTTCAAAAAATGTACTAATAAGAAATAAATGAATACTTGTTTTTAACAAGGGTGAGTAAATGACAGAATTTTTGGTTTTGGGTGAACTATTCCTTTAGGTATAGGCTACGTGTTCCCGATTTTCAAATATACAAATACACACACTCACCGGCCACTTTATTAGGTACACCTCTCCAACTGGTTCCAGCTGATAGAAAGGCAACAGCAACTCAGATGACCACTAGTTACAACTGAGCTCTGCTGAAGAGCATCTCTGAACACACAACACGGCCAACCTTAAGGCAGATGGGCTACAGCAGCAGAAGACCACACCGGGTGCCACTCTTGTCAGCTAAGAACAGGAAACGGAGGCTACAAATTTACACAGCCTGACCAAAATTGGACAATAGAAGATTGGAGAAACGTTGCCTGCTCTGATGAGTCTCAAATTCTGCTGCGACATTCAGATGGTCGGGTCAGAATTGGGCCTCAACACCATAAAAGCATGGATCCATCCTGCCTTATATCAATAGTACGGGCTGGTGGTGGTGGTGTAATGGTGTGGGGGATATATTCTTGGCACACTTTTGGACCCATTAGTACCAATTAAGCATCGTATTAACGCCACAGCCTACCCTACTCTTCTGATGGCTACTACCAGCAGGATAACACGCCATGTCATAAAGTGTGAATCATCTCAGACTGATTTCTTGAACATAACAATGAGCTCACTGTACTCAAATGGCCAACACAGTCACCAGGACTCAATCCAATAGAGCACCTTTGGGATGTAGTGAAACAGGAGATTTGCATCATGGCTGTGCAGCCGACAAATCTCCAGCAACTGAGTGATGCTATCATGTCAACATGGAGCAGAATCTGAGGATTATTTCCAGTACCTTGTTGAATCTACGCCATGAAGGATTAAGGCAGTTCTAAAGCAAAAAGGGGGTCCAATCTGGTAATAGTAAGGTGTACCTAATAAAGTGGCCGGTAAGTGTATCTATATCTATCTATCTATCTATATCTATATATATATATATATATATATATATATATATATATATATATATATATATATATATATGACACACACACTTAATAATTGTTATATTTTCTAAACGTATTTATAGATATTAGGCTTTCTTGAAAACACGGCAGATTTGTAAAAGTGGCGCGGTGATTCGCGTGACTCCAAACGGTGAATCATTTAATCGTTTAGATAAACACTTGACTCAAATGACTCGGAGATTTGTAAAGCTCCGTTTTCTCTTCTCTACTAATCAGTTAGTTAATTCATGTGTACTAACAGACTCACGATAGAGAGAAACGAAACGCGTATTTTCTGTTAAGTTAACTCGTGCGTTTTAAACTCAAAATAAAAGCTTTTAAAAAGTATTACAGTTAGTTTTAGTTTGCAAATATCTAATGTATCGAGTGTAAACGAAACTATAACCTTAAATGTTTGTTTCGATTTATAAAGTATAAAAACCTTAGAGCACAAACCTTTTGTTTTGGATCGCGGACACAGTAGCGGCGCAGTCTGATGACGTCTACTCCCGAAACAAAACAAACGTCTTTTACCTCTGAGAAATTACAAAGTTTGTGGCAGCAGAGAGAATTTTCAAGTCAAAGTCAACTTTATTGTCAATTCAACCACATTTACAGGACATATAGAGAATCGAAATTACGTTACTCCCAGACCCTAGGTGCCTAACATATAATATTAATACAAAAAGTAGAGTTTTAAGAGAAATGTATAATACAATTATACATAACATGTAATCTAAAAATATAGGTAAAAAAATGTAAACGATACAATACAATGACAACCCCATTGAAAAAAAAACTGCTTAAACCAGCCAAAGCCGGTCAGGCTGGTTTTTGCTGGTCACCCAAGCTGGTTTTAGCTGGTTTCGGCCACTTTTTAGCTGGTCTTAATTGGTCAGGTTGGTCTTAGCTGGTCAGGCTGGTTTAGAGAAGTTTTGGCCACTTTTTAGCTGGTTTTCGTTGGTCAGGTTGGTCTTAGCTGGTCAGGCTTGTTTTAGAGGAGTTTTGGCCACTATTTAGCTGGTTTTCGTTGGTCAGGTTGGTCTTAGCTGGTCAAACTAGTCTTAGCTGGTTTTGGTGGCGTTTTGGTCACTTTTATAGCTGGTCTTATTTGGTCAGGTTGGTCTTAGCTGGTTTACGATGGTCAAGCTGGTTTTAGCAAAGTTTTGACTACTTTTTAGCTGGTTTTAGTTGGTCAAACTGGTCTTAGCTGGTCAGGCTGGATTTAGAGGCGTTTTGGTCACTTAGCTGGTCTTAGTTGATCAGGTTGGTCTTAGCTGGTTTAAGCTGGTCAGGCTGGTTTTAGAGGGGTTTTGGCCACTTTTTAGCTGGTCTTAGTTGGTCAGGCTGGTTTTAGCTTGTCAGGCTGGTCTTAGCTTTTAAAGCTGGCTGTTCTTAACTGGTTGGTTTTAGCTCGTCAGGCTGGCTGGTCTTAGCTGGTCAGGCTGGGTGACCATTCAGACTTTTCAGAAAGTTTCAGGCCCACTTTACACTTAAGGCTGATTTATACTTTTGCGTCAAGCGCACGCGTATGCTATGGCACAGCCTACGTGTGGACACATAGCCCCTCACCGTGACCCTCGCTGACGCACACCTCTCAAAAAATGTAACGCGTACGCGTAGTGCAAGCTCTGTGATTGGTCAGCTTGGTAGCGCTGCTGAGTGTGGCCGGAGGGGAGAGCCATGCGAGCATGATGCAGTGGGTGTTCACAAGTGTGGAGCCCCATGAAGGAGCTCCGGATGGAAAGTTTTGTTTTGCGTTTACCTCATGGTTAAAGTTGTTGCACGTCCGCCGGATCCTGCCTCAAAGTGAGCCAATTTGAGCCACTTGTACATTAAGGAAGAGTTCAGAAAAAATAAAACACCAGCGAAGGAACTCAACACAGAGCAACATAAACACCTACTGCCAGCTAGCGTTTCGGAAGTGTTTTGGAGAGCAACAGAAAAAGCCTGCAGAAGTATAAATGCAAAGCTACGCGCAAGGCTTGCGCCATGGGTAATGCCGATCACTTGACGCAGTAGTATAATACGTCTTAGTTTTAAAACAGCGTTTTGGAAGGAAAACATCCACATTTCACCAAAGAGTTTCAGAAAAGATCTTCATCGACACTTTACCTCTGAAAACGCACATCACATGACCACACATACGCTCTGTCATGCGATGCAGACGTCTAGGCACCAGGCAGTCAACGAGTGCTCTGCAGGCACCTCCCCAGATGAAAGCAGCAGAGGTCGGACAGTTCATCAAGGATATACCACAGGACCCTTATCTCACTATAATTGTTAAACAATCTATCTAACGACTCTTGGGTTTATTAGCCAGAGCGCAAAAATAAGTTAAAGGCCGCTATTATACATTAAAAAAGGTCATATTTTGGTTTTAAGAGTCTTCAACAACAGGCTCATATGCATGCAAGGTCAGAAAACACTTTCATGGTCTTATAATCTGCATTTATTTTTACCTAATTATCCCAGCGACCCCTATATGATTCGTTCAGCGATTCATTTGTTCCCAAACCCCTCCTCAGCGCGAATCTAATCTGCGCCGACTGGACTGATGATAGTCTGTTGCGACTGGTTGACAGCGTTCAGCACGAGATAGAAAGAGACCATATTAGAAAAATCACAAAAACCCATAATCGGGGCGCTTTAATATATTCTTATGCAAGCACATAGAGTAACTCTGCACGTTTGACTAATTGTTTCCTATATTGTATAATCTTATTGTATTATTGATTGTCATTATTACTTATTAAAATTGATATTTATCAAAAGAGACGGGGTAGCTTTCATGTTTTTCAATGAAGTGGAGGCGGTCATGTTATAGGCTCCTTCTGTTATAAATATGCATGTTACATAGGCATACAGTGAAGAGGAGTCATATTTTTATTAGTTTAGTTTATTTACAGGGTCAATGCACATTAATAAACATTACTGTAAAATGTGGCAGAATTAGCCAAGAATGGCTCTTTTTCATCTGTAGGCCCCTTACAGAATGTTAAAAAAGTCACACCTAAAATAGAAGCACATCATAATAACAGTATTTACCGTCATATTTAAAATACAATAAAAAAAAAACAGATTTATGGCAGCAGAGTAGGGCAAAAAAGACAAATAAGTGTCAAAAATACAGTACTAATGCTGATTTGTCAACCAAATTTTATTTATATTTTTAGGGGTTTTCAACCTTTAATGGATAGAATAGTGCAGAGAATTGACAGGAAATAGTAGGGAGCAGAGAGAGGGGAAAGAACCTTGAGCCGGAAACCGAACTCTGGTCGCCGTGAACACCATGGCGCTATATATCGGCGCACTTGGCTATTGGCGCAGATGTCAAGAACCAATTTTTAACATGAAACTGAAAAGAGCGAAGTGATCTTCTAATTGCTGGTGGATGGAGTTCCATTCCCTAGCAGCTTATACTAAAAATACCGACTGATTGAATTTACTTTTTTTTTTGGAGCGGAATAATACAGTACCCTCTTTCACCACCTCTAGTAGTTCGGTAAGCAGTCTTTCGAACTTTCACAAACTGATTTAGTGGTGAAGTTGGGTTATGCAAGGTCTTAAACATTAATCAAATATGCACATATTTAATAAAAATTTCCCAAATAAAGCAGGTTGTATTTCTTTAATATTGAACAATGGTGCACTGATTTCTTATCAAAGGTTATTTTTATAATTAAAGATTGCTCGTAAAATGATTTAAGTGGCTTCAAAAGTAGTAATGCTAGCTTGGGACCGAGTGGTTAAACATTAAGTGATATAAATATGTAGCTACACGACGCCTCAACATTGTTAGTGTCTGTTAAGGTGTTAATAAAATGAAAATTGACAGCTCCTTATATCACGTTTTCATTTTATTGTTACGAATGTGAAACAACGTAGCCTGGGTGATGCGAACGACGTTATAAAGTACACCGTTTTTAACCGATGTGTCCTCGGGAGTTTGTTTTTCATTTCAAACTTGAAGTTTGAACTTACAAGGAGAGGAGGCAAGACCGAGGCTGCGTCCGAAACCGGCTACTACTCAGTAGGTACTGCATTTGAATTTAAACGTACTACCAGGGTCTCCGCGGGGTCTTAAAAAGTATTAAAAAGTCTTACATTAAAAAAACAAAATTTATGGCTTTAAAAAGTCTTAAATTCGCTGTTTTAGGTCTTAAATATTTTTGCACAGGTCTTATTTTTGCGATGTCCATGTAACGCTACATTTAATGCTCATTTAAATTCTTTTTGTTGTTGTTGTTGCTCGGTTTTTGGGGTGTTGTAGTTCTTTTTTTCACTATTCCAGTTGTAATTTGCGGTTTTACAACTACAAAAAAGTCAACTTGCAATAGCCAATCAGCTTTCTGATATTAAACTCAAGTGCGCACGGCGAATGTGACATCATCGCTGTGTTTGCGGAAGTTCGCTTTGAGTGCGTGCGACATGATTTCGGCAAGCAGAGTGTGCCGTTATTTCACTGACAAATGTCGCAAGCGCAGTTTTATAAGTCGGGAGCGCTGTAAAACGAGAGAGCGAATCTCTGCTCACGCGCCGGTTTCCTTTGTTCATGGACAAAACTGCTTGCGAGCTCTCAAAACACTGGCTGCTCACGTGCGAATGATCTGCTCTCGCTCCGTCGGACTCCTTTCGTGCTTTTCCAGAGATGCTTCAGCATACTGTAGTATTAGGAATAGTGAACTGATAAAATGAAATAGTGTAGTTTTACTACAGTAAAGTGTGTTGAATTGTAGAAAAATACACCCTACATTGTAAAAAAAACTAAAGCACTGGGTGGTTTGTTTTTAATACCCTTGTTGTGTTACCATAGCAACTGTAGTATTACCACAACAGATTAATTAAAGCACTTTACAAAACACTGTACAGCAGACCCTAGTTCACTTTATTTTAGTGATAAAATGGGATTGATAGTGGGATTTATTTGAAGAGTGAATAGTACAGTAGGCTTTAATACCTAATCAACTTTTTACCTATTTTCTATCACAGTTACATTTCTGCTTGCCAGAATGACCAATAATTATTGGCTAGAAATTGCAACAGCCATGGGAAAGGAGAAAAGTTTTTGTAAAACTTTGGAAAAACTCTGAGGGAAAAGTGTGTTTAAACAAACAAAGAGGCCCCCAAAAACATCTTCAATGATAATGATTATCTTTTTATTCGTCTGATTTTACTTTGTTTTTTTGGACCGCCCCATGTCATTTAAGGGTGCTTTCACACCTGTGAATCGATTCAGTTGTTCCGAAACAGAGATTACAAATGTTACATTGTTGCTCTTTGGTCTTGGAGCGGTTCGCTTTCACACTGCAAAATTTCTAATCGGACCAAAAGAGCTAAAATAAGTCAAGTGCGAGTAAACTCTCCTTACATTGGTCAGAGTGTCAGGGTTTATTTTGCAGCGTCCCGCTCAGCTGTCAGGAGAGGTGGTGGTTTGGTGGTGATTGACAGGGTGCGCGCGTGACGTGTCTGAGGAGAGACACGGTGGGGAGGGGTGAGAAGGGTGCGCGACGATGCCTATTTGAGGACTGGGAGAGAGACGCGAGATTACCGGGAGATCATCACTCGTTTGCGGGCATCCGGAGACTCGCGAAACTTCCCGCCATACTCATAATTCTCTCTTCATATAGCCGTAAGCCTATTACATATCCATAAAACACTGTGATATAACCGCGCTCGGATCGGATCGCTTTCTCACTGCAATCGAACCGCTCCAGGGTTCGTTTCAATCGAGCCGAGACCACCTCACTCAAGCGATCTCGGAGCGATTACTTTGGCGCGGAACAGAGCGCGATTGCCCTGTTCACATATGCCAATCGAACCGCACTAACTGGGCAAACGAGATACGTTCCGAAACAAAAGTGTAGGTGTGAAAGCACCCTAAAAAAAATATCTCAATGGTGAACGTGTCAAGTATAAAAGCCTTAATCCGTTTCGTGAGTTGTGCGATGCGGTGCCAGGTGAAAGTATAAATCTGCATTAAGATGTTTGTTTTTTCTGTAGTTCAATAGCGCATTTAACCTGACTTTACTACTGTTCAATTTAAATAACTTTATTTTACCCCTAATTTTGTGTTTTAACATTTTCTCTTGCGTGTTTTTGATATTGCGATATAGGTCTTAAATTTAATACTTAATTGTCTTAAAAAGGTCGTAAAAGGTCTTAAATTTGACATTTTGATATCTGCAGAGACCCTGACTACTCGTTTGTTAGAAAAGTGCGTTCTATACAGTATGAACGAAATTCGGACGTACTACATCCGCCATTTCGACAGTCACGTGACGTACCTGCGTCATTTGCATCGCTCTACTCCCATTCATGAATTCGCTCGCGGGGCATCCAGAATCTCGCTGGAAGTAGCAAGTCATCCGGGTACTTCTCGCATACTGTTTTTCGAATTCTATGAATTTGGACATACTACTCGGACGCAGCCTGAACTTTCTGTGCTAGATATCAAGCGCTCCAATCAGATAGGTGAATGCCTGCACCCTCACCTTTGTTTTCAGATGTCTGTTTTCCCCCATCCAACACTTTAAAACGAAAACAGCCTCTTCAGCGTTTACAAAACGCTCCGTTTTCAGCGCTCGAAAACTCAGAGGCAGTGTGAAAAGAAGGCGTAATCATAGCAAAACTTGTGCGTTTTCAAACTAAAACGTATTAGTGCAAATAGGGCCTCAGTTTCAGTCACCTGACACTCCGTTTTTATGTGGACGAACAGCAAAACCATGAAAATAAAAGTAGTTTTGAATATACCAGTGTTAACTTAGACAGGGCTGTAGCGTTTGAGTGGATAAAGATGAAAACATTGTCAGTTTTAAAAAGTAAAACACATTTTATTGCTTTAAAAATTATAGTCTGCGTTAAAAATAGAGAAAAAACACATCCAAAATAAAAGTTTGACAAATTAAGTGTGTATATTCATTATGTATATATAAAATACACCCAGGCATGCATATATTTGAGAAACCGCTTCGTTTCTATGCATCACATATACATAATAAATAAATCAAACACACACAGTATGTCAAAACTCATTTTGGATGCAATTAACCTTTACCCAGCAGTAGTTAAACTCTAACCTGAGGATGTATAGTATACCGGCAGAAATGGAAGAGGAAGCGCCGGAAGTATATGAAAAGCTTGGGTTTTCCTCGTTGATTGAGGTGAAGTCCGTCGTCCTCGTACAGGCTTTGGTCGATGCATCTGTACTTGAGGTAATATTTGGAGGTGTTGAGGAACAGCATGTTCCTTTCGTATGTGGTCCAGCGCTGCATCATTCTGTTGGTCTGTTTGACCGTGGCTTTGGTGACGCAGTCGTCTCTCGGTCGTGGTAAAACGGCGCTGATGGCGAAGAACTGAACGTTTGGATTGGCTTGAGAGATCCGTGCGGTGAGAGCTTTCATCCGGTAGACGACACTCAGCGATGACGCTCTACTGGAGATGTCATGAGTGCCCATGTGAAGGACCACCAATGTAGGCCTGAGCAGCTTCACGAAGGGTTTGACGTGTTTGTGAAGGGATTGGAGAAGAGTGGCGTCGGGATGAACCCAGCAGTGAGCGTTTGGAAAATACTCCTCGATGCCCAGACACATGGAGTCTGTCAGGAAACACACATCGAGCCCTGAAAGAGACGGCAAAATGGAGGAGCTTTGAGTTTTTCTGTCAAAAACATATATAGATTATGACTGGACAAAAATTAATCACATTCAAAATAAAAGTTTGTTTTGACATGATACACTGTTATGTGTTTGTA